CTTGCATCTAGTTGAATTCTGCTCCCTTCATGTCCTGACTGCTCTATTTTGAATGCAAATAAACACACTAATGACAAAATTAGTACTGTGGGTGTTTTTTTTTTGCCATGTTTGACAAAATATATCACGTTAGTGACGCAAACGCACTGCCATTGTGCCTTTGAAACTTGCATCCAGTTGAAGTCTGCTCCCCTCATGTGCTGCCTGCTCTGTTTTGAATGCGAATAAATACACTAAAAAATGATCATTTTAAGGCTACACAAGAGAAACATTTATTTTTATAGTTCAGAGACAACCATGTCTCAGTATGAAATGTGTAACAGACACATCGCCTCATGTCCAAATCACAACATGACACAATTTCAAGTTGTAAACTGTAAGGAGGGAGTCATTTTCTGTCAAGCAGCACTCCCTTGACATGACTGGAACAGTGACCCAAAGACAGCAAAGTGTTTACACTGCAACAATGTAGACATTTGTAACTAGCTAATTCTATCATTTACAGGCCTCACGAGCCCTTGCAAAAACATTAAAAAACACAAAGAAATTGAGAAACATAATGAGTATCTTTAATGAGCAACTTCATTAGCATTAAGGTCTGTGGATTAATTCTCCCCAGTTCCCATATCAGTCTGTGGTCAGCTGAAACTGCAGCTGCACTATCAAACTGAATAGTAAGTTAATATGTTCTGTGCTGTGGACCACTGTAACTGATTTATGCCCTTTCATAAATCCTGATTATTTGAGGAACTAATTTCAAAGACCAATCAGGTCGTTTCCACAGTAAAACCTGCCGGTCAGACGTTTATTAACATACTGAGATGGAGAATGTCTTTTTTAGGGTAGAATTGCAAAAAATTGTTGTAAAATATTAAATCTGAAATATTTTTATTTCTGATGGTGCCCACTCATAGGCTGGAATCAAATGTATTTATGGAACAGCAGCATGAAACCTGGCAGATGTTATTAGTAAAATGTGTTGCCCATTGTGATTCCTATGGGATCTGTATGATTCTGATAAATACTCCAATATTAAACTGTTTAACTCTCTTATTTCCACAGGGACCTGCTACAATTGCACAAACAAAACTTGCTAAACATATGTGCAAGGAAATCAAAGGAATAAAAAGGTAGTTAAGATCAAGTTAACCCCAGCAGAACAAAATCCCTGTGTGCAGCTGCATGGCTGCAGGAAGTCCAAGCACATCCTGAGTGTCCTCATGTGTCTCAGGCATAAAACTTCCTCGGGTTCCTAAGGTTGAAGCGTGAATCAAAACTAATTCTGCTCTGTCAGATGAAAGAGACAAAACCAGTTGTCATGACAATTCTTGGGAGATTTATTCTGACAGGCAGAGTCCCATGCACATGTGTTTGTCAAGACTACAAATATCTTTAGAAAAAGCTTTATAGAGAATTATTTTTTGTTTTTCAGCATCACATTTGCACTCAGATATGCAGATGTACAAAACCTTTCAGTTTACTTTTGGTATGCAAGACAACATTTCATGGAAATATCACAAGAACAACAAAAGAATTAAAGAAATGTTGATATAAATATGTTTTGTTATATCTTATGGTGAGGAAAGCGTTGGAAATTAAAAAGGAGAGTTCTCCATCTCCAATGTGCTTAATAAGCAAAAGAGGCTATCTGTTTCAATATTTCAGTTGAAACAAAGAAAGGCACAAGGTAGTAAAGCCTGCTGTGACTGAAACAGAATCATACCCTATGTACTCCCTCTCAAGTAAAAGCCTAACTAAAGGAGAGTTCCATCTTCAATTTACTCCGAGCCAAGTCAATAACAGCCAGATTAGAAATGTGGGCAGTCCAAAAAAAGCCCTCCCCAAAGAACGGAGGACTTGAACGAAGGCAAAGAATGCACACACACGTCTGGCCCCATATCTCAGAGGAACAGAGAGCAGGCTGATGGGCTTGGTCTTTTTTCAAAAGCTTAATTTACCCTCATTTTAAAGGCTTGGTAGCCTTTCCACTAAGGCCACCATCCTTCAAACCAGTATCTTTCTGCACATAAAACTTTATTTCAGACCGGTAACCAATGCAATGTTAAAAGGTATGCCTGAGGTTTTATAGGTCCATACTTTCGACAAGTCTTCAAAACAATCTTTTCTGCGGATCTCTGACCTGGCACCAACCCATTTTGAAAAGAGAAGGTTTTTGTAAATGGCTAAAAGCTTTGTCACCCCAGATTCTGTGTAATGAAGGGTTGCATTCAGATGACAGGCAGCTCAGGAACAAGGAGGCACACTTCACTCTAATCAGCAAACATTCAAATAAGGTTGGAAGAAAGGAAAAAAAGGTAGCTGGAAAAAAGGACAAAGGCTCGTCGCAGCCACAAACAAGGCAGCAATTATTCGACATCTTAAAAAAAGAACCTATAGAAAAATACAAATAAAAAAAAGACAACAGGGGGTAAACAACACAGGATGACAGAAGGAAATGACGGTACCCAAAAGCAACACGTGCAGTGTGTTTCATGAGTAGAGAGTGAGGCATGTATAAAATGCCTTTATTTCTTCTCTATAAGTAAAAATCTAACAAAAACTGTTACGGTACATGGAATACTGTGGCCCATAGACGAAAAGCAAATGTTTTTTGTGTTGGCAACAGAAAATGGCTTCCCTCCCCCATCACTGGAGTCTGACTGCTGGAATTATGCTGCCAATTTTCTCCATGGCAACCTCCAATGGTGCCTGAAAAGTTGTGAACCCTTTTCACGTCTGTGTATCTCACCTTTAGTTTGGTCTAAAACAGCCTAGGAGGGACCCCTATGAAGCATAAGAGTAAAGATTTAAACACATTTTTCATTTTTCACACATCAAAATGATCCACAGCTCATTTGTTTTTTTCAGTCAATGGGCGCAAACTAGTAAGTGGGGCCCAGTTTTCTGGAAGTGTGTAGTGACATGAACAAAAGGATATTTCTCAAGATATCAGAAAGGCTCCTGTTGTTCGTCACTCTTTAATTACTGAATTATATCCTGAATATCTAAAGCCATACCGACATTAAAAAAAGAACATTTTCAAACTCCTCTGAGTATATACTGACACTATTGAAGCTTTGCAGCAGTTACAGAGCTGGAGCAGATGTCTAAATGCCCTGAAAGCCAAGGCCAGCAGACGTTTTTCAGTTCACAGGAGCAAATGGATGTTCAAAGAATCACCTGACAGTCTGCGCTTACATTTGATTAAATTATTCTTAGAATATTCCTTGGAAACTTTAAAAAATATCCTAAGATTAGGTGAGCTGAGATGCACAGATACAGTTTCTGATGGTATAACGTAGTTTAGCTCGTGTAAGTGAAGCCATAAGTTGTCTTCAGAGAGGGTAGTTTTCAGCAGTTTTCCTACATCAGGCAGTGGATTTCTGTGACAGAATCAGGTCTGTTGTTTTACCTTTAGGTTTGGGCATTCTTCCTCCCATATGGAAATGTCTCACAATTCTGGATCAATCTTTAACATTTTCCATGTAAATAGTGTTTTCCGTTAATTCTTTGCTCGGTTTAACCACACACCATCTTTCATTTGACCGGCCAAGTGTGGAAGGTGTAATTTATGGAAGTTTTGTCATCTGGCCCATCCTCCTGGAAGATTCTGCAGCCGAAAACATCTTTGAGAAGAAGAATAAAAGTCTTCAATTCTGCAGGTGAACCACTAATATCCCTTTTTTAAGGTTACTGATGAGTAATCAGATGACCTAACTAGTCATTTGATATTTTCCTAGTTTACTTATTGATTTATACTTTAATTTACTAATTTTCCATTTTGTTGTTCCAACTTGCTCTTTTTTAAATGAAGGCAACAGTTTAGAATTTTCCCAAACACGATGAAAAAAGTATCAAACTTTAATACTATCGTTTTTCTTTTACAAAACTGGCAGCAAACACAGATTGTTTATCCTTTCATGGGAAGATGTGTCATCATTACAAAGCTTCATCGGAGGCTTTGTCCAAGTTTTAAAAGTTAAGGGATATATTACAAGAAAATGATCCTTTAGAAAAGTCACATGTCATTTCTTGCCATGAAGTAATAGTTGCGCTCTCGCTATCCAGCTTACAAGAAAAAAGACCTTGTTTGTGAATTTTACAAATTTTCAATAAGAAAAATACAGCGTAGGAAGGAGAGCGGGGGGGTAACGATGCTGTAAGGCATGAAATGAACTGGGGCAGAGCCTGTCAGTCTATGAGCATGACTATTAATATTTTCAATGATTGATAATGAGAACGAAAAGACAAACACTAAGCTCTTGGTGTGCTTTCCACATTCCGAACTCAAAATTAAATATCTGTGTATGTGTTTTCTTTTAAAAGAAACAAATTAAACTCATTAAAGAAGATTTGACAATCATCTCTCTCCTACCAAATCTAATATTTCTTGTAATATTTCAAAATTCTAGTGACTTTAATCAAGATCTTACCCATTTGGGCATAACATAAAAACAATTCAAAGATGCCTATGATGTGCCTTAAACGGCTTAAACCCCATGTATCATGATTCATGACCTATATGCTCAAAATATTTGTCTGTAAGTACTGCAGTGACAAAACGGGAGAAATAGACACATATTTTATTGTAAAAGTGACTAAGTCAAAGGTTAAACAGAAAAATATTTCCTGTGAGAGACAATCCAACTTCATGTATATGATAATATATTGGCTTCTCTGTAGTTTCCAGCCATTGAGGTTTATCAGTGCCTAAGGCAAAACTTAACAGCTTTTGCTATGAGAGGAGTTCCCCATTTTCCCCTTTGGACCTGTAGGAACATAAAACATCAAATACTTATGAGTGAGAGTCAAGCCTCTAATAGCAGAGGTGTGAGTGTATGAGCTGCATATTGACTGTGATGAGGTGATACAACTAATATGAGAAACCAAACAAGCCTATGGCCTGTTTTTGCTTTAATGAAATGTCGGCAGCCTCACGGTGCACACAAGCAGCTGACCAATCAGTCAAGTGTTAACAACCTGCTGTCAAATGTTGCGCTTCAGTTCTAATAAAGGGAAGAAAAACTGCAAATCTGTGGCATCTTTCACAGCAGGTGCATTTGTTGGTAGAAAACTCTGGGTTTCACCAGCTGTTGACACTCTTGGAGTCATGCTGTGGGCAGACATTTCCCTTGATAAACAAGTATAGCTGCACTCTGAGGCAAAATGAAAGTCCAGGTTCAGGTTTCAGTGAGTAAAGCAGGTTGGATAGCCATGACATTACTTGTGTTTGGCATAAAGAATGAAAAACACTGATGTGGATCAGTGAGACACTAGTATATAAATATAAAAATAAAAATCTATATGTAAATGAAAATGTAGCTTTTTGCAGTCACTCACAATGCAGAACATTGGGTTAGAAATTAATGTTTTTTTAATGCCAATGAATAAATTATATATTTTATGTACTGATAAAAGAATGGATGTAAAAAAATGTGAAATGTTGAAAATACACCCATATTAGAGCAATTAAAAATGCAGATCACTCACTTTTTATAAAAGGAGCCCTATCACGTTCATAGATGGAAATCAAGATAAAACCTCAGCTGAATTAAATTGAGAACAGGTGAATCTCAATTAATCAAATTGTTAGATGATGAAAGATCCATGTAGGAGTGAGAGTATGAGCAGCCCTGCAGCAGTGAGAAAACAGTTGCAGGGATAGATAGAGATGGAGAAACCTAGCGCCCCCAGGTCTGTAACAACACAGTGCGGCACTGCTGCCAGCAACCACAGTGATTGGTCTCTTTAGTATGTTTACCAGCTCAAACTAACCACCCAGTGAAATGAAACTTTGAATCATAATAGCCTATAGATGGATCTCACTTGGTAATAATACCCCATAATCGTAGTCAATAACTATGATAAATCAATAATATTCATAATGCATAATTCAATAACCAGAAATCTGCCTGTGTAGCTGCAAGACATCTTCTCATTTACTTTGTTACCCCAGACTGTGCAGGGATTAAGCCAATTAAATGGTTTCACACTCCATCCTCATCTTCATACGTTTTCCCTTGATTCTGTAGCGTATTAATTTCAGTATAAGTGGATGTTGTTTGAAGTGTATCACCTCCAACTTGAGCAACCCACATACACATTGTGAGCTAGAGTGCTATCAAGAAAGTCTCTGTTTCAAGTCCCCATTGTTTGAGCTTGGCACAGAAACTTTACTTATGGAAACCTCAGCTCCAACGTTTTGACGCTCTCACTGTGAGGATGTGCAGACAGGAATTAATACCAACTACACAGGTCACCTGCGTGGGCAACAGTGAGAGCTTTGCATTGATCCACAACAGAAAAATGCAAAAGACAGCTTTAAGGCAAATGACAAAGATATAACACTCACATAAGCAACTTATTTGACAGAGTTCACTTTCCAACCAACATTAAGATGAGAGACAATACAATTCTTCTCACTTCAAGAACAAGCACAGTTCATAACTCTTTCACTGCCACCAGATGAGAATAAGACAGAGAGAAAAGGACAGAGTGAGAAATGTTTCACAAATTTATCTCATCATCCTTTATAACATACTGTACTTTACGACATTCCAGCTTGTTTGATTAAATCTTTGCCCTGTAGGGTCGTGTGTCACATATTGGTGAGCATTATGTGCACAGTAATGGACTGCAGTCTTGGGTCACATTAAATTTCACCTTCCACAGATTGGTTATGTGCGTTTGGAAAATTGGATTTTGGACGAAAATTACAATCCCCTCAGTTGACACAGGATGCAATCAAACATTTGCTTTTTACCCGGAGAGGAGCTGGTAACAGCACAGCCCAGGAGCCTGTGCAGTGAGCTTTTAGGGGCGTTACCACCAGCAGAGCTGACAGAGGAAAGCTGGATGTCGAAATCTTTTTTTGCAAATTACACAAATTAGATATTAAAGCAACATGTTTTGAGGGATACAACTAAACACTAAAAAGAAATACCTGTAAACCAAGATGTGAAGAGACAGACAGAAAGAGAAATGGAAACGGGCTCTGTTAGACATCTACTCCAAGGTGATTCAGTCTGTCAACGCCCACAGAGCTTGCCCATTCTCATGAAAACAATGAGTCTGACTCATGACATGACATTTAGCTGTAAACTCTGCTCTGGAACTCCAACGCAAACAAAGTGCTTCACTGAAAAAGATACCAAAAATTATTGAATAGATTACCAAATGACAGATATAATGTTGCTCCATGACAACTTGTTAAATGCCGGTGCACACTGGGAAGTCTTCATGACATTTCCGCTTAATCCCTGGTGTTCAATCCATGCATTAACACATACACATACCCAACGCCCACCCAAAGTAAACAAAGCTGAAACATTATGACTGATGCGCAAATACACAGGCACACAAAGCAAAATGGTATTTCTAAGGAATGCCTTAAACAAATAACCAGTGACATGATGATGATGATCCCATAATCACATTAGTGATGAAAATCCCATTACTTCCTGATTATACAGCAACCTCTGTGCTCTTCAAAAAAGTGCCTTAAGGAGAAAACACCAAAGGTGGTGAGAAAAATGCCTAAGCCACTGCCGCCATAAGCCTCACAAATCGTTGCCCATACTTTCATAGAATAAAGAGAATAAGAGAATAACTTTGAAGCCACTGTTCACTCATAATATCCATCTCAACACTAGAGCCTAAAACACAACGTTTTTGGAGCTGCTGTGAGGCAAAGATTAGTTCTATGTGCCTGTGGAAATGATGTGCCAGAAGCAGAAAAAGTAGAAAAAGTGGTTTGGGAGATATGAGTGACTGTTCTCATGCCGAGCTTTGTGAAATGGGGTGGCACCCCTGTTTCACTTTTGTGGACTTCATCAGCTTAATGTCACATGCACTAAAATGACAAGCAACAAATTGGAAATGGAGGATCGTCTAAATGAATTTCTAAGCCTTCCAACATTAAGAACCTTTCCCTTTGACCCAATAACTAATTAACAGAAGGAAAAGGAATAAAGCTACTATCTGTTAAGAGGTATATTTGGCAGACAAGAGCCTCAAAAAGACTGATTGGTTTGGTGAAACGAGGGAAAGCGATAAAGAGGAGACAGAAAGCCTTTCTTTTTAGGTAAAAATTATCTAAAAAAGAAGGCATAAAGAAGGAAAGAAATAAAATAATACACTTCTTTGGTACTCCAAACAAGTGTATTATTTTATTTCCTCTGTACCATTGTGTGTGGAATATGTATATTCAGACACAATGTGAATAGAATATTGAACATATCATTTTACTCACTTCGGTAAGACTGCAGATTAGTTCCAGATTGGTTCTCCATAGATCGATCCGTTATCCAACATAAGCTTTCTTTTACTCTGCAGTGTAATAGTTTTCGACAGCATTATAATGAAGCAACTGCAGCTATCCAAATCAATACAAAACCCCAACATAACACGAGTCCTATAGACAAGCTTTATGTCCCACCACATGCAAACAATTCAATATTGATGATAAAGAACATTTATAGTCACAAATAACTCATTGACTTTTTGTAAATCTATGTGACGAAGGTTTGCAAGGATAGTGGGGAACAAAACATCTGGCTTTACGGTCGAAACAAAGTTCGGTGCTCATCAAAAAAAGAAAAGAAAAAAGAAGAGCAAAGCCGGGCCAAATTAATTTTACAAACAACTCTTTCAGTCAATCCTCTCTGTTTGAGAAAGCCCGGGCTGCAATGGGAGTATGCTGAACCACCCACGCATTTTCTTAAGAAGTAAGAATGCTGTTCACTGGTGTATAGAGCACTCAGGCAGCTCCACAGAGACACATGCAAATGAAGTAAAAACTCAAGTGAAGCAACAGGGGAAGAGGGGACTAAATAGTGACTCGCTGTCAAATGCTGAGCACAAATATGAGAACATTTTGATATTCCAGGGACTTAACATACCACTGAGCAAACTAGTTATATATCTTGCTATTACTTCTTTCGTCAATTGTTTAAAAAAGTGCATGCCACAACAACTCAATTGAATTGGCCTGGCAGGCCAAGACATGGGAGCTGACAGGCTAGCAAGCTTAAACGACCTATTAGACAATCAGCAGTATTCTTCATATCTTGAAAACGCTGGCTAATTGTTTCTGTCACTGCAAACACATCCAGTCAACACAGCTGTTCAAACTGCAGCATTGCACCACACAAACAGGAAGGTACGAAGCTGTCAAATCAGACTCTTTGATTCTGAGCTCTGAGGCTCAATCACATTCTAACAATGACGTCTCTGACTGCACGTGATGGATCAACACGTTTCAGAAATGACTGTTGACATGAGATATGGGCACAGCAATAGGAACAAAAAAAACATCATGCGGTGAGCTTACATTGCCTTGGTTGATGAAGCCATGTTCCCTGGCAATGCGGTCAGCCTCCTGTGGCCCCCCGTTGATCTGGACAGCCCAAGTGTTGGTGTAGACCTCTGCAGCACCGGCCCACGTCAGTTCATGTGTCAGCAGGACTAAAGCCGTCCATACCAGCAGCAAGGCCACCTGTGCATCCATTAAAAGGAGAACTCCCAGCGGAAAGGTCTACTCGTCCGTCTGTCACTGCTTCCCAGGCAGAGTGGGGCGATTCTACCTCACAGCAGAAAAGTAGAACACTGGCCTAGAGAGGAGAGGACAGAGCAAGCTATAAACAAAAACATGTTTTTTTCAGTGCTTTTTTTTTTAACTGGGTCACTTTTGAGCCTGAGTTACCTATTTCAGAGGCCAATCAGACCCAAATAAACCCAAATCTATAGCAGAAATAGACAGCACACCTGCAGACCGTATCATGTAATTTCCTGTCCACTGACAGATTATAAAAAAAGAGAAAAATATTAATAAAAATGCTAAGTAGAAATATGACAAAAAAAGAACAAAGGCTCAGCCCAAAACAAAATTACTTTTCAATCCAGCTTCATCTTTTCAGGCTCAAAATTGTAATGTATGATAATGATATACAGTAGGTGTGTTAGTGGAATACAGGGAGAGCTCTTAGCAAACCAATACTGCTAATAGCAAAAAGACGATCTGAAGGAGAAAATATTTAAATCTATACTTAGACACTGATCCTCATTTAAGAATATTCTAGCATGTAATTCAGCCTGCGATGTATTAGGCATAACATGATGATGTTCCACATACTGCATTCTGACTGAATGGTAGAAAAACAGTCATCATGGAAAAACAGCCATTTTTAGCAGTATTTCAAACAATAAGGATTTTCAGCTCCGACCACTCGGCCAGACTTTGACTTAATGTCACATTAAGAAAGAGACCAAGTCATACTTAAGAAGGAAAGCTTTGAGATACATCAATTGAACCTGAACAAGAAGAGATGGGATATAAGGATCTGCTTAGTATATTCAGTCCTTATTCAGTGCAAAACAAATCTTTAAAAAGGGGAAAGAGGATAAAGAGTAGCCAGACCTAAATGTCTGCTGTGTGTCACTGCTGATGCTATCATAATGGCACCAATGTGCCGTCCAGAGGGTCACTTTCTGCAACACCATAAATCGGAACAGAAATGGAGAATACTCCCGGATGCTTCCACCATAGCTGTTTCAGCGCTGGTCCAGAATCAAAGCTTAACAGTTAACCACCACAAGGACTGACTCCAGTCCAGAAAATCTGTTACTACTGCCAGGGATTTACAGGGTCAAAGACAAGATCAGCTTATAACATTATAGCTCCACTTATTAGCACTGTCTGGTGATGTTCAGCATTTTAGTCTTCTGAAACTAAAAATGATTAAAAACATACATGGTCGAGTAATTTTCAATCACTAAAAAACCAAAGTTTAGCTAACAGGCAGGCTGTTAGAATAACGTAAATATGCTTCTTCAAAGACACAAATAAATTCTCTTGGAAGGAGTTCAGTTTGGCTGAAGCTATACAACTGATTCCAGGAGTGTATTATCTTGTCTATAACAAGCAGCAAAAATCCATATATTTTAAACCAGTAGAGGTGTTTCTGGCATCTAAAATGGATGCCTCTGGGACATTCTTCTTTGTAGATTTTCCAGGCACAGTCAACTTGGAACATACCATGGTCAGCATAAGGTAGAAGGTTTACATATCTCCTCTGGCCTGGGAAAACCTTGGGATCCCCAGAATGACCTGCATAGCTGGAAAGAGGGATGTCGGGAATTTCAGAGATCATATCTGCATTTTGATCTGCAGCAGGATTCCTAGTTGTTTGTCCTCACTCACGGAGGACATGAATGTAAGAATAACTTTGTGTACATGTAATGTAAAGGATAGGTTTTATGAGTTGTACAAATAACTGCTCTGCACCAAATGTGGGTTTTCAAAAGAAAAGCACAACTTAAATATTCATCGATTCACACCAAAAACTTAACAGAACTTCTTTTCATATAGATTAAAATTGTTCTCCTATTTCATTTTCCAAATCATGCCACCTTTCAAAAAGTTGTGTCTGTGACGTTCAAAGGAAGGATAAACTCACAGAGTGCATCTGTGGCTTTAGATACATTTGGAAGTGGGTGTGATTTAAAGCGCATCAGGAGAGGTGGAGGAAACATGACCAGAGGCTGCCACTCTTCCCGTGGAGCAATTCTTCTGAGCTCATTAGCCGCTGTACTGGAGCCACAAAAAACAGGGGTCTGCTGTCACCGAGATGGCTGATAGAGGGAGGAATAGATAGAGCGAGAGAAGAAGAGAGAGAGGAAAAGAGTGGAGGGGTGCCTCCCCTTATACAGCATTGCGGAAAATAACGAGCACATTATAAGCAACCCTCAAAACACCTTCTCACAAAACACAGCCTGGAGAGAAGTTAACAAGAGCCTGCTTACTCTTACAATATACATCAAAGCCCAAAAATGAGTAGAAACTTTAACCTTCAAACCACAAGGGAGCTCAGACTTTGGAAGCATGACTCCAATGAAAACAGAACAACACTGCATAACCTCGGCTGAGATTACTGCCACGGTGGAATCAATGAGCCTGTGGAAATGCAGGCGGACAGAAGTGACCTGCAGTATGCTAAAATAACATCAGAGCTTCAAATTAATAATTCAGCACTTTCCGATTCACCTTCTGATTCACACCATTTGATTGTGGTGCATGCCACAGTGAGATGGAATCTAATTTTGATCTAGGATTCCAGTCTATCATAAAAATCCCTCACAAACAGACTATCCAAATCAAAACACTCAATAAAGGTTACCTGTGCGTCGATTTAATAATAATGTAAATATTCCTCTCAGTTCTTGCCACTAAATCCCCAGCTGAGGGGTCATTATGGAACACTGATGAGCTATTCAATGCCCACTATTCAAATACACTGAGAAGAGGGCTTAAATGGATCAAAAATGCATTACACACTGTATATCAATTAGTATTTTGATAACCTGATTAAGCCAAGAGTCAGTCATCTCTACAGACCCTGGCTCTGAGCCAGGGTCCATTTTTATGTCTGTCAGAGATAACTCTTGAAATGTTATTTTGTTAATATCCAGACTTTACCACTACCTTTAGTTGATTTTAGTAAGTCAGATTCCTGCATTGTAGTGGACTACAATGATTTACCTGAAGAGAGCACATCACACAAACTGGTGAATGCCAAATGGAGGGATATGAGTTGCATTTTTAAAGACATCTATTTGTTAAGGCAGCAAAAGCACCACAATGCCTTTTCACCTTGTTTGTGTTTTATCAAACCAACTGTATTCCAATATTATTACTTGGTAATTTAATTTCAAATAATTGTTTTTCTTTTCATGTTATATTGGGAGCTGCAGCCAACGACTTACTGTACATCTGAATCTGCCCCAACAGGAGTAATGAGCTTTCCATTCAGCTTATTGTTTTTTTTTGTTTCTGTAAAAGCAGGATTAAACTTAAAAAAACAAAAACAGTTGGTGCACCGATAAGCCAATATTAAAGATGCTAACAGGTTTTAGTGCAAAAACCTGATGCTCAGTTATCAAATGATACTAGTACAAAGGGTTTTTGCCAGAATCTTCTTTCAGATGTTACCATTGGTCTACTTTGTCCTCTGATAACTGGCTTTCACTATGCTAACATATTTCTTGGTTTGTTTGATTTAGTTTTACCAGAAACTTTTTTAAATAAAGTCAGTTCTGCCCCTTTTTTAAGTTCAGTTCAAGTGTGCCACACGTCTGAATGGGAACACCGAATTTTCCACCACTCTCAGAAACGACATCTGAGGGGATTCTTGTCACTGTGATGCATACAAAATAGATCATGCATAAGACTAAATGAAATAATGATTTTCCTTTGAAAGAAAAAGACTGGAGTGCTACTTGACATTTTTTTCTTCACAAACAGAAGCTTCTAAAAAACAAAGCTTGGACTTGTCAGCTCCAACAGCTTGTACAGCCACGATCCATCTTTCAGCATTAAACATGAAATAACTCAATCTTTCATTTATTTCCCATAAGTGCTTTATCCTACTCGGGGTTGCGGGGGTGGGGGGCAGGGTTGAAGCCTATCCCACCGGCTGCTGGGCAAGATGCAGGCTTCTGTTTGGACATTCTGCCGATCCACCACAGAGCCAGCAGAAAGACAAATGGGACTACAAGTCAAGCTCGCATGAATATTTTTGAGCTGTGGAAGGAATCCAGAGGGAACCCATGTGTGCATGGGGAAAACATGCACAGAAACTGACAAAAAGAGATTCAAACCAGGAACCCTCTAATTGTGGGGCGACAGTGCAAGCCACCACCTTTAGCTGGCAGATTTCACTTCGTATTAAAAATAGTCCATGCACCAAAGTTCTTAGGGAACAATCATCCCTTTTTTAGAAGTTTTTCCTAAAATTCCAAGACCATAGCAACAAAACAACCTCCTCTTTCTTGTTGGTACTGTCAGAGCTAACAGTGACAGGCATCTTAGAAAACATAGAGTTGGATTCTCATTGGGACTCTGACATCTTTATTCGATTTTGGAAATGTAAACGCACTATTTGTAGCTCAGTGACAAACTGAAGTGAATGACCTAGGGATTATTTCCAGAACTGCTTTCAATAACAACAACAACAAACGGAAAACAATAAAAAACAAATCCCCCCAAATCCCCAAGTCAATCTCATGACACCATCTGAACCACAATGTGTGACACAAATAAACTACTATTTTCTTCTGCTATCACATGTGTGGAAAACACTTGACCTTTATCTGCTTAAAGGAAATGTCACATGGGCATGTCAAATTGTGTAAAAGTGATGCATCTCACAAAGAGAAAATGCATTTGGCCAACTTCCTCTGCACTAGTATCACTCTGCTGAAATATGATTTCACACAATTGGAGTGGTCATACAGGCAATTTGCATTGGTAATGACAGGCACACGAATCTATGACAGACCATATGCAGCACTCCAGCTCTATTTCAAGCAGCCCATCAGCCAAATCAACACCCACCATGTGCTCTGGGCTGCCCTCTCACTGCAAACCAAGGCACACAAGTGAGCTGCAGGATTTGTGAAGTAGCACTGACAGCCAAGTATCCTCTCTGGAGAGGCAAAATTGCTCCAAGTTAGAGTGTGATTGGAAAAACACGGGCAGCACACAGTCGTGTTGTGCTCTGTCACGACAGCAGTCCACAGCAGATAGATGTAAGCTGCACAATGATCATCTGAGACGGGCTGGTGTGGAGTGGGAACACCCTGAGTGCCGCTAAAACCTGATCCATCTAAAACCGTGCCTACATGTGGGACGGAGAGGCAGAGGGCCCTAATGAAATGCTGAGTGGAGAAGCGGCAGTTTGTCCAGGAGAGGTAATCAATTGTGTAAATAAAGTCCCACAGAGAGATTCAACCAAATTTTTAACAGCCCCCTAAATCTCGGCTTGGCTCCCTGCGTTAAATATCCCTTCATCCACAACACTATCCGTCCTAGTTTACGGAAGAGTTATATTGTTGACAAGTTTGTCTTTTCACTGCTTTTTCCTTCACTGCATTCCTGTTTTTATGACTCGTGTAAAATGTGTGCTCCAACCAGCTGGAGAATCACCACCATATATCACCTAGTACTGGTATAGAGACAAACCAACCAGCTGAGCTGCAAAGTTAGTGTTTGAGGGCTGACGCCGTCCAACTTCCTCTCAACACAAAAGCTCAAGTGCAAATCCTATTAATAGCTTCAATCTTGAGAAAAATTTCAGAGGCAGCCGACAAAGGCAGGCAGAAAATATGAGATATGCTGGGCAATTGTAAATGGTAAAACAGCGTAATCCGGCTCAGGAGGATGCTGGGTGGCACGCTGTAGCTGGTGACCTTGAATTCCTTTCTTGTTGATGTCCCGGTGGAAATATAAAGGATAACCATTTTTAGCTCGGGGCAAGATGGAATGCAGAAAATCATTTGACGTTTAATTTTTCCAGCTTGTTTGCTGGAGCTGAACATTCTGTGATTTTCTTCAAACACAGATGTAGTTTGTGATGGCAGTGGGAGCAGCAATAGTGCACATGGCTTGTTTTGAACAGTTTCAGCCTGGCCCGTTGAGCAGCACTAACTGAAATTTATTACAGCAATTCTCCCACTGATAAAAGTACTTGATGAGGGATTGACTTTATTAAGGCTCCTGGGTGAAACGGGGGAAAAAAAGGAAACCAAGGCGCATTAAAGAGATACACAGAACATAAATCCGAATTTACCGTGTCAGGGTTATTTTTTTAGACATGCTGCGGGAGAATACTCTATAAACAAAGCTGTTACACCAGTTATCTTATCAACAATAAACTTCGGAGTGGAAGCGCTTCTGAACACTTACCTCGGAAAACAAAGGGGAGGGGGGATTTAAACCAAAAATTGCTGTTCAGAGTCTCGGACCTGGGAACGATGCATCTTACTGGGATCACTGGTGAGGTCCGCTGGCAGAAATGCTCTCCGCAAACATTCCCATTGTTCCCACCCATTCTTCCCCTGCTCCCCAGCCTGTTTTTAACACACCAAACTTGTGGATTTCGCGAGAACTAAAGAGAAATAAAGAGAAGAAAAAAGAAAGAGGTTGATAGTCCAAACTGTTACCTCAGAAAGTCAGATGCCGATGTCAGGGACGTCATGCCTCCTCATCCTCTTCCTCTCGCTCCGGGCGGAGACTCCGCTCTATTTTGTGGTTTCTACTTCCAACTTTGCGTTTAACCTGCCGCTATGCTTCCTTCTCTTGGTCCGGGAGTCAGTTAGAACGCTACCCGCACGCAGCCATCGTCTCCCAGAAAAGCGCTGAATTCAACTATCCCTTCTTGCCTGTCATTCGCCAACAACTTGCCGAGAACATGATTATAATTAAACAATAAACTTCACCCGTCGCAAGAAATCCCCCACCCGAGGTTTTGTTCATCTGGAGTGGATCACTCTCCGGTTATTGTGAGCCAACATCAATTAACAAGTTGCATGAAAGAAATTCTCATACAGAGAAACGGGGGTAAAATAGGGCACTACAACGTGCCAACACAATGTAGCGGTTCACTATTGGATGTAGATAACAACAAACTACCACAAACCCCTTTCTCCAGGAAATACGTCACGTTAAGAGCCAGGTTGATTCTTGTGTAAGCTCGATTTGTATCACTGTCATCGCTCAAAGGGGCGGTCCACTGTTTTAAACAACCTAAAACTAGTTTCAATTATTCAAATCTCCTGTTTTTCCACTTTTTAGTTGCTGTTGACAGTCTTCCTTCCAAAGCAACTAAAGACAATCATTTGTGACATTAAGGAATTAACCTGCTCCGACGTCTCACCAGTAAAAAGTTATTTCTAAATATACACTCGATAGTATTAATAATTTATGCATAGGATAAATGGTTATTGTATTTTGCAATTGTAAATTTGTGTTAATTTAATTTTGTCTCTGGTTCTTCCTGAACCATCGCCTTTAATTTATATGTACAATTTTTTTTCCGGGTAACGCCTATAAGTAAATCACGCGTACTGGTAACTCACTTAGCCATTTTATGCCCTATATGCCAGCGCCATCTTGCGGACCAGTTTGGAGCTTACATAGCCCGACAAAACGGCACACTGCTCAGCAGAGGGGGCCATAGCCCAAAGCTAACAGTCTGACTGTGACTAGCACGGTTGTGTCTACCCCGTTAGAGCCTGTTACAAGTCACAGCCAGCCCTCTTTGAGCTCCGCTGTAAACGCGGGCTAAAGTTATCCCGGAATAAGGACAGCACGCATGTGCCGTCAACCCGGATGTAGATATATAAATATATATATATATGAGCGTCCTTTCCACAATGCTCTAAGTTGTGACAAATTTCCCATTGTGTTGGTAAGATTTCCACATTTTCGTAGCAGGTATCATGATCCACAGCAATCATTTCCCGAAGAGCTGCACTTTTGATTTACGGTGAGAGCAGAAGTGGGTTCATTGTATCCATGACTGTTTACATGTGTTTTTGTTTGTCATAAGCGATGACCTCGTCTAAAGCAATAACGCCGCTAAATCAGTGTTTTCTTGGTGCTCCTGAAGTTGAAGTAAAGGCTGGCGGTTCATCTCCAATGTCATCTCCTGGTGTGTTGCAGAGAGTAAGTTAAATGATGGACTTTCGCGGGAAGAGGCATGAAAGGGGCAGCAACTGGACCGACCCGGAGATTGTGGAGCTGCTCCAGTTGTGGTCCAACGAGTCCGTCCAGCTTGAACTGGAGAGCTCGTTGCGTAACCAGCGGGTATTTGACCGCATAGCCCATGTTTTGCGTGAAAAGGGCATTTACCGCACAGGTGACCAGTGCAGGGAGAAGATAAAGAAGATGAAGCTGGAGTACCGACGCATTAAAGACAACCATAAAATGAGGACGTGGAAGTTCTATGATGTTATGGACAGAGTGCTGGCAAACCGTCCAGCCATCACCTACTCATCTCTGGGCGGAGCTGTCATAGCTCAGCAGATGTTTCAGAACACAGGGGGGTCTGAATCATATGTGCATGGAGCTCCAGCGGGCTCTTTCGGTCCCGTGTCCGCTGGTGGGTTTTTGTTCGGCCAGCCCCCTCAAACCGAAGAGCCACTCGGTATAAAATGTGAAGATGTGGAGGAGAGCACGCTGAACTCTGGTGTTGCACCGCCTGAGATGTACTATGGCTCTGGAGATGAGCAGGAGACAGATGGACAGTCTGTGCTGGGTCCAGAGGACACACTGGGTCACACTGAGAGCTCATCAAACGCAAGAATCTCTCCTTCAGGTTGTCAGTCCCACTAGTAACCCAATTATATGTATTACTGTATACATCAGCATTTGGTTTCAAAGTCATAGCAATTTAAGAAGTAAGTTGTCCTCTTTATTTTCCAGGTTTCAGTGACCTGAACATTGCTGGATCTTCGGCAGCTGCCAGTCAGGCCTTCGGTAGACCTCTGACACGCAACATGTTCGAGCAGCCCGCTAAAGAGGGTTCCCATCCCTCCACCTCTGCGAGACACAGGAAGCGCCGGCGGGGTGGTAAGACCTCCTGCAGTCATGGGAGTGGTAGATCTTGTCCCCAAGGGAGTTTGGATAAAGCCCTGGTCAGTTTTCTGAAATGGCAGCAGTCTGCCGAGGAGCGGCTCCTCTCCCTGGAGGAGGCGCGGATGGAGCGGGAGCTGCGAGCCGAGGAGCGCAGAGAACAGCAGGAGGACAGGAGGGCGGAACAGGAGCGCCAGCACGAGCTCCGCCTGTTCAGTATGCTCACGGGGGCGTTGTTCGCTGCCAGACAAGGCGCTTCATCCACAACACCGGCTGATCCCTCCGTCTCAACCTCGGCTCATCTGTCAGCCTCACTGATGACCACAGCCGCCCCCTCTGTCTCATCATCTTTATCTCAGCCTCCTGCAGAGGCTCCCACGGTGCAGGCTGTCTCCACTCAGGAGACGCTAAAGTCACAGACCACATCTGTCATGGCCCGCCAAATGTCACAGAATGTTTTTTCACAACTGAGAGGTGCAGAGACTCCTGGCCACAGTGTGTACCTGTCCAACCGCGGCAATAGCATCCGACAGCATCAGGGCATTCTCCAGGAAGGCTTTGCCCAGTATGGAATGGACAGACACCATGACACAGACAATCCAGATGTAAGTGACCATCATGTCTGCAGTGATACATAGACAGTCTGCCTTGATTTAAAAAAAAAAAAAAAGTCAAGTGTTAATGTTTTCCTTTTACAGGGTGTACTAAACCTGGGCACCAGTGAGAACAAGCTATGTTTTGACCTCCTCCATACAAGGGTAAGATAAATTATTAAGTTGCATCCCTGCATAATACTGTAATGATGCTTTTATGTTGTTACATTGAAACATTTTTCATTTTCGAATAGCATCTTTCAAAAGTTTTTTTTTTTATGGATGCATTAAACCTTGTGTGTGCACACAGGATTTATGACCATGTGAAATGACAATAATAAGATCCCATTCCAGCAAAGACACACAAGGCAGCACCACTAATAGGAAAGAAGCTTACAGTTTTTCCCCTGGACAAAACAAAAGCTACTCTCTTTAGTGTTCTATGGTTCTGTCTCCAAAACAAGTCTCCCTGGCATAAAAAAAACAACAGAGAAAGCTTCTCATAGGCGGGAGAACATAATGATTTAAAGTCCCAAAGTGGGACCAGAAACTTGCAGGCATTATTTTACAGATTGATGATCAGAAAATGAATTAATTAGAATCAAACTGGTAGATGAAAAGTTTAATGTGTGTTTGACTTTAACAATCTTTTTTTTGATAATTCTGCCTGAATACATAAATGATGCACGTCACACTCTGTTACAGCTGACCAAACCTGACATGCTTCATGTTGACCCCTCCCTGCTGCAGTATTCAGACTGGACGGGACACACTTTGTAAGCCGTTTTAGAGAGCCTTCCTTTTTCCGTTTTAAATCTCTGCACTCATACGTCACTGTGGTCATTTTTCACAATAACCATTAAACGACTAACAACATTTTCTTCATGCCATCCTTAAGCCTGAGAGAGGAAGTGGCAAAGTTCCTGACTCGCTACTGCTGCTCTCCAAAGCCCCTGGAAGCTGACAATGTGAGTAAAGAGCACTGCTTTCATTACCGGAGCACATCATCACTAAAATGAACACTGTGTGTGAGACGGCAGCTGCAGTTATCTGAATGTCTTAAAGCTAAATAGAATTAGGGTAAATTCATAAATACAACAGCAATAAAGATACTGAACTTGAAATTAAACACAAACTGAGTGGTGTAGGTTTGTTGCACATCGATGTGTTCACCTTTTTGTGTGAAAAACCTCTGAGGGCAAATATTGCAATTTATACACCATTAATGTTATTACTCTGGACAAAAAGGCACTTTGCATATTAAGACTAAACATGCATGGCATACAAAAAAAAGCTGGTACTATAAATCTTTTGAATTTGAAGCACTGAACAAATCTAATAAATGAGCAATTCTTCAGAAATGACACATTCCATCTGAATCCAGATGACTCATTGTTTGTTATTTTTCACTTTTTATTCTTAGATAAGCTAACATTTTTATTATTAAGTATAACTCAACAAAACCTTCTTATAACTTAATTACAGTTCCAGAGCCCATGCCACCTACACAGAACACATCACACACAAATGAACAATTAACAAACAACAGAGACTGGACCGCACTTCATTTGTGGCTGTGAGAAATGGATTCTTTAGTGGGTGGATGAATTAGGGGCATGTTTATCAGGCTTCTGTGTGTCTTAATTGAATCTTTTATTATATTGTCTGTGTGTGTGTGTGTGTGTGTGCTTGCTCAGGTCGTGGTGATGAATGGCTGTGGTTCCCTCTTCTCATGTATCGCCGCCGTAATTTGCGATCCTAAAGGTAGGCTCACAAATGCGCTGACATATCAAATGCGCACACCGCACAGTCTCAAAGCTAAATGCAGATGTGTGCACAAAACAGAATGGGAATGGTCTTTTTTTGTAACCCACGTTGTGTATAACTGAATACATACCAGAGGATGTGAGAATGTTGGCCAAACAACACACAGCTATTTAGGTAACTGCAAAAAGAGCACTTTCTTAAGTGCAAAGGCAAACAAGACCTATTTTACACCAATGCAGTGCATCATTTTAGCCTGATTACACATTTATCTGAAAAATCATACGCCAGAAAATCTGCCCATATTCATTTACTAACTGCCAACTTGGACCACGAGGCCAGAATTAGCCTCTCAGTGCTCACGATTTGTCTGGCACAATTAGAGCAGCAAATGTTGCTCATTTGTGAATTAGCTGCTGCATCAAAAAGGAAGATGACCACTCATAAACCCAACACTGTCTGATGCAGAGCCTTTAAAACTGATCATGCTCATTTCTGCTGAGCTATGAGTAAATGACACGCATCTTAGTTGACACACAAACCAATCAAATGTGTTTATTTTGATTTTCTGTTCGTATTGTTTGTGTCCGTGTCATGTAGATGCCATTCTCATCCCTACTCCTTTCTATGGTGTGATCACTGAGGATCTGCATTTGTATAGTGATGTGAAACTCTTCCACATTCCCCTTGATTGTGAGGTAGGAATAGAGTACATGATGATTACTGTGTTTGCGAGTTTCAATTATACAGCATGTATGTTTTTTTCGCATCCCTGTTAACATACAATTTATGGAGAACCGTCAAGTTGAAATGCAGATTAATTCTAATTTGCTTTGATCCTGTTTTTATTTATAGGCAGATTCTAAAGACAGCCGACCCTTTCAGCTAACTGTAAGAAAACTAGAAGAAGGTCTACAAAGGGCTAAGCAAGAGGTAACTTATGAAAGCATTTTTTTCTGAAGAACTTGCCTTTAATGAATATTTAAATATCTGAAGAACCTCAGAAATGCAGATGAGGTTAACACCTTGGATGGGCTATTTTTTTTCTGAGATTTTCAGCTGTGTATTTAAAGCCTGTGAAGGTGCAATTTGGCAGTTTATATTTACAGAAAACCCTCAAATTTCTTGAAGGGTTTTAACATTCGAGCAGTTATTCTGATGAACCCCCACAATCCCCTTGCTGAAGTCTACACTCTGAAGGAAATGATTGCCTACTTGGAGTTTGCCAAAAGGTATGTTTGTCCCACTATTATCTCACACTGAAGCCTAGTATAATCCCCATGCTCTGCAATCCTGTTGTTTTTGGAAGCACTTTGTCAAGTCACCGCATACACTTCCTACAGTGATTTCATTTATTGCACAGCACACGCACACATTTTGCAAGAGCTCTGTTCTGCGTGTGGAATATCAAGTGTTTGTCACATAGTTTTATCACCTTTCTTAACCAGCAGCATATAGCCAGAGAGGCTGCTGCATCATCTACAGTTGTCTGAATGATCTTGCCAGAGTAATTCCCCACAGAGACTCTTCACAGCACAGAACCGTTGTAACCATAAATCTGAAGGCTTTTATACTAACAGCGAATGCCAAAGGAACCAGTTTACATTTAAGTTGAATTTCCTTTGTAATAAATAGTGGGTAACAATATGAAATGGAGGCTTACAGTGCTCAACGGAAAATATGTAATTGCATTATCTATCTCGTTGTCATTTCTCTGGTTAGAAATGAGCTCCATGCCATTGTGGATGAAGTGTACATGCTGACAGTCTTTGACGAATCTGCCACCTTTCAAAGTGTCCTCAGCACAGATAGGTACTCTATGATACCTGTATCACACCCTTAATCATCACAATTTCCTCTGACAGCACCCTTTTTTCGTCCTAATAATATGCCCATATTTCAGTTTGCCCGACCCACAGAGGACGCATGTGATGTGGGGGCTGAGCAAGGTATGCACCATCGGGGTCTGGGAGCGTGAGATGTTTTATTATAGTGCTGACAATGAAATCTTTCCTCTAGTGGGCATTCGTTCTCACTGCTCGTTCTTATCTATTCTCCCCTGTCTTTTCTAGGACTTTGCAATGGCAGGAATCAGAGTAGGCACTCTGTATAGTGAGAACAGAGACCTTGTGGAGGCTTTGGCCAAGCTAGGCTCCTTCCACGGTCTCCCTGGAACATCCCAACACCAAGTGGCACAACTGCTACATGACACAGGTACCAGCCATCTACCTTTAGATTTACCGTGAACCCGTTTCAAAAGAAAATTCAGGCCACTGCAAAGGAAAAATTACATTCTCAAGTATAATCCTCTGTCTCCACTGTGGCGTTTGTTAAGTTTCTGTTTATAAATGCAAATGATTATTCTCACAGGCCTTCCAGCAACTCAAACAGAGGCTCCCCATTTAATGCAAGAAATTTCAGCACCCTTTTCAACCTCCTCTGAGGTTCTGATTCTCTTCGTGAAGACTTGTTACAGTGAACTTACCTAATGCCACTGTGCATTCTCGTGTTACAGAATGGATCAGCAATGAGTTTCTGCCAGAGAACAGACGCAGACTGAAAGCTGCTCACAGCTACATGACAGCAGAACTTCGTACTTTAGGTATCCCCTTCCTGGACAGGCCGGCTGCACTGTATGTTTGGGCTGACCTCAGAAAGGTAACCCGACCGAAGTCACGTTTGCATAATTTGTCTTAGAATCCAGTCTCAAACATATTCATAGACAGAGCAATATTCCTCCAATGATTCCCACGTTTCTCCCCATTTCTTCACGTATGTTTTTGTGGGTTTTACTTCTGTCTTGCCATTTCGATAGTACCTCCGAGAATCATCGTTTGAGGGGGAGCTGTCTCTGTGGAGGCGTTTCCTCAAGCACAAAGTGGTGTTGAGCTGTGGCCAGGCATTCTCCTGCTCCACACCCGGATGGTTCCGAATTGTGTTTGCAGACCAACGTTGCCACCTTGAGCTCGGTCAGTTTGTAGAACAGCTTTCACAAATCAAAGAACTCTTCATGTCTAACACTGTCAAAACATTTTTCACTCAGTCATTCAAATATTCAAGAGTGGGTTAATGTTTTATTGGAAAAAAAAAACAAGTGTGAATGACAATCCGCATTCCAGCATTCTTATTTTTCTTTTTTTTTTTTCTCTTTAATTCAATGCTACTGATCTTAAAACTACTACAATGTATAGGTGCTCTCCTCAGTGGCCATCTCTGTGACACACTGATACCAATTTATTATGTTGTTTCAGGCCTAAGACGAATTCGGGAGGCTTTGAAGGAAAGTGAGGAAAAAATGACCAGCCCTGATACGCAGTCCAGCAATGGAGCTGTCGAGAAGTGCAAAAAATCACTAAAAGAGGACAGTACTGAGTCAGACAATGCTGCCATTGTGAATTCAACATCATCACCCTGGAGCAAGTCGTCAGAGCAGCTGAATGAGAGGGATAACCCTGTTCCTGACACACACTCAGTTGCCACTGAGGAGTTTGTTTTGCTGGACTGCCAAACATCCAAGCCCACAGAGGGTCTGGACTCGCTTATTGGCACTTTACGGCAGCAGATCCGTTCATCCGATTGGCTAGAGAAAAACACTCCAGAGCTTTCGGCTGGAGAGAATCCAGAAATTCTTGATGTATTCAAGGTGTTGCTACAAAGAGCCAAAAAGTAAGTATTGGATTAACAGGTGTGAATGTAGTGGCCAAATTTCAAGTGGCAGGTACTTAAACATTGTGCTGCATTAACGATGAATAGCATGACACAAACACCTGACTGAAGTCTATTTTTGAAGAGAGAATCATTAGATTACAAGATAAAGAGACGCATAAAGGAAGAATACATTTGAAGCTAATGTGAGAGAAAATGTGGTAATATTTTCCATAAGCGTCTTGAAGCCTTATTGTAAAGCTGCTAAGGACGTTTACCTTTTTTGTGTATGTGAATTTGCCTCTGTTCAAAGGTAATGTGTAATGTAATTCAGCCCACATAAGTCAGGTTCTTCTCTTAGATATCTTAGATTTATCAATTTGTAAATAATTTGTTTTACAAGAATGATTTCTTTCTATTTAATGACCTGCAAATAAAGAGGGTTTGTTTAATCCTTCACTGTCGTTTATTTTGAGTAACACACATAAAACTCTGAATATGTCTGCTGTGTTAATTTGTTAGATAAAAACCTGTGAAAGAATTTCAGCGTGACATTTCTGAAAGCCTTCGTTGGGGTGGTCTGTGGGTGCCGTTCCGCTGCAGCAAAGGAAATAGCAGGGGATGGTGGTTACATGACATAGGGGCAGGTTGATGACGCTTCTCACAACATGTTGTTGCCCACTGTTAGTAACTGAGAGTGGGATTTCCTTGTATGTGTTGTCATGCATAATATTCTGATGACACCCCCTACACAGTCGCTGTATGACACAAACAATTAACAGGTGTTTTCAATGAAAATGTGTCTCTCAAATGTTACAGATTTGGAGTTTTGCCCTCTGAAACTTCCCTTAAAACATCCTTTTAATGTTAAGTTTTTATCCACAGTTTTTTTTTTAACACATCATCAACAGACAGTTCTGCTTCCTCAATATGAAAGGACAGTTTATTCTGCTTTCACTTTCCCTCCAGTGGGACTTTGTAAGTCACGGTGGAGAATTCACGGGGAAATTTCACCTCCACTCTGGGGGAGTTTCCATTACAGCAGAGGGGGAGTTAACGGCAACTCTGTGAGTGAACGCCCTCGCCACAAGCGGCAGGAGAAATAATATCAGTATGTTGAACGTGTTTGTACAGTCGTGTGAGTACACAAGTGGATCTTGGACTATTTGTTTTACTGGAAGACAAACTGAAATCAGCTTTTAACTTCACAGCCTTGCTCCTGACATTTCTCCTTCCTTATTGCTAAAAGGTGAGGCAAGCGTTCTGAAAAGTTGTAAACATTTGGGTTAGTTTGGATGGAGACTTTCCTATTCTCAACATCTACTCATCATTATCTCTACCATTCCTTTTTTTCTCCCTCTTAGTGGCGAACAAATGAAGTTCATTGAGTTTGGAGACTCCATCAGTCGCTTCAGGTTCTCTCAGTGCTGTTTGGGATTAGCAGGTTGCCTCTGTGTGTGTTATGCTGTCTTGACACCCTTCTGGCTCAACGACAGAGGACTGTGGACAAAATGGAACAACAACAGAAGTGACCAGAAAAATAGTAAAGATGATGTTGTCTTCAATGGTGAGTAAAAAGCTCAATTCTGTTCTCTCATTGATCTTTAGATAAAAACATTTAGCCTACAGCTTTCAGTCAAGGTTAGGTGACAGGATTAACTAAATAAGATACTTTAAGAAGGCATCTTATGGGATGAGGCGAGTGTATTTTTCGTCATGCTGATTTGGTTAGGCAATGGCCCTGCAAATCAGCCCTGAGGGCGATTTCTTTTAATCTCTAGTGGAGTACAATATAGCAATATTTGGCTAAACACTCTGGGGAAACAGCTTCTTAGCAGTGGGGAACAAGTTTGAGCTTGCTGTAACAGAGCATTGCATTCCTGGCATTTGCTGAAGCTCCCACATTTAGATGAAGGCAAATGTGTGGAAACCTGATTCTGTCTTGTGAACTAATAGACTTTCAGGGCTGTGTTCATTCCATTTTCAAATTGAGGTTAATTGAGGTCAAACTCATGTCCCAAGAAACAAAAATGATAAGAACGACATGATTTGCAGATCACGGAATTTATATAATTACTAGAAAATAGTACAATTAATACAAAGACAATGGGTCAAATATTGGCATTTTTTTCTGAAAAGCTTGTTCTCGTTTGGAATCTGGTGCCAGGAGCGGTTGTTTGTATGTTTAAACCACATCAGGCCCTAAACACTCTCTATGTACACTGAATATACTATAAGATATACCGTATATTTCCATAAACTAAATATTTTAGGATACTATTTTGTATTTTCTTATGTTCATTTCTTTTTTGTACTTGTAAAATTCCAGCTTCACAGCCAATGTAGGCATGACTGTCATTTTTAAAATTTTATAGAAAACCTTTTGAGTGGGTGGCTGGTCCGGATGGCAGACAGGTCCAGACCAGTTGCAAAACATGCCTATTATTTATAACATGCAACATATTGCCTGACTGAAATACATGTAGTTTAGGTAGCAGCATATATTCCTCTACAAATTAGATAGACCAGTAGGCGTGTGCGGGGCTTTCACAGATGCTTGCAAGTGTACAAGCTATATAGTTATACAACCTTCAAATCAAAATGCTGAAAACATCTTCTTTTTTTCAGAGGATGCCCTGTCTATGATTTCTAAATAGAATCCAGTATTCTTCTGTCATTACAAAGCTGATGTTGTCCTTTCAGGTTTTTGTTCAGTAACAAGGTCAATCAGTATATTATGGCATAATCTATATTTAATACAAGTGAGAGGTCCTGAAAACTGAAAAAAACTGTAAAAGCACAAAAGTAACATGCGTCATCAAGATTTACCAGTGGATGGCCAAAAGTAAACCCTCTGAATTACATAGCAAGTGCAGTATTACATGTACATATATTAAAGATAATGCAATAAAGTGGAGTCAGTTTTCAGCTCTGTAGTAATTAACTTAACCGTTGACTAAATGGGGATCTTTTGACTTAGAAAGACATTAAAAGACCTCAAAATGATAATGCAATATTGGTGCTGCTTTTCAGTTCCTACCAGTAGGAATACAAACACCAAGCACACAGTTCCACAAAAGCAGTGATAATTAAAGAAGCACAGAATCCAATCATTTTAATCTCTTTCATTGGTTTAATTGGTTTATATTTGACAACAGAAACAGTTTTTAGTGTTTCTAAACCCTGTATTTGTTGTGTGTCTTACAGCGCTGGAAGCAGAGAGAGTGTTTGGAGTTATTTCTTTCCTGATGGCTGTGAGCACCGGTGCGCTGTGTCTGCTGTTTGCCCTCTGTTGGACATCTCAGACAGTCCGCTCCTACTCCAACACCCGATCTCTCCTCATGTCAGGACAGGCTCTTTACCCCACCACACTACTGCTGCTCACCATGGCCTCTACAGGTACCGAATGGGCTGTGCGTCTTTTCATGTGGAGAAGTCTTTTTGGAGAGCAAAAATAACATGTGCCTTAAGAAAAGTAGGAAGAAGACACCCACGTCTAACCTCAAAATGGTCTTTTGATTTTGGTAGCTCACGTCAAACCTACAGAAATTCTTTCATGTGCTGCTCATTTACATACCCTGTAGGGCAGCAGTTTTTAAAGAGATTTTTTACTGTCCTGGGAATTGCAGTTCATTATCATACAAACTCTTTTCAGAGGCTCCAGGCATGCAATAATTGAACTTAATGACTTTTTATTTTAGTGGCGACACTGCTTGATTTGACTCATGTATCCCATCTGTCCACAGGTTTCTTCTTCCTCCTAAGCTGGTCTTTTTTCACCTATCAGCACCGGGAGGAAATTCAGCAGGACCTCTCCAGCCTTGGTTCCTCTTACTGGCTGGGAGCTTTGGGCTGGATTCTGCTGTTGGTGGTGGAGTCAGTAGTCTTTATTGCTGAACAAGCTGTTGTTCCAGACATCTTGCCTGACTTGGAGAAAGCAGTGGAGTCTTGGAGGACCACCTCTAAACTTGAAGCTGCTCAACGCTCTTTCAGTGTTGGGTATTCATCTTCTGACCACAAAAGCTCTAAAGTTCCAAAGCGGTACATGTCAGTACCTTGAAAGGAGTTGATAAGTAAGACAGTTACAGAGAAGCTCAAAAGCACTTGCTCGGATGAACCGTGTTTACTGATGGAACTGGGTATCTCTACATCCTACATCAGTAGGCCTGAACTCATCAGCCTCCTACAGGGCTGACAGTTGTCATTTCCCAGTATGTTTTCAACTGTAACTGGTACATAAAGATACACTAAGTTAAACTACTTTTGACTGGAATTCCAGGCACCAGATAGAAGACCACAGATCCCTGGTGTTTGTTGTTGAGTTTTGCTCCATGAGCTGGAACAGATCCAGATGTTGTGGGGCTCCAGCTAAAAAAAAATGTGAGTAAAATGTGAATAAACTATTTCTGTTGGTGCAACAAATACATTTTTGCTCAAATACAGGGGAAAATCTAGGTAAATGTTGACTAGGTTGACTTTACAGTATGGCATACTATGAATTATGTACTGTAAATACCTGTTGTTCTTACTCTAATATAACTGTGTGACCATGATTTTCATTTGGAAAAATGTTTAATTTAGATCTTGTGTGGATAAAATATTTTCTCACTTACTCATGGCCACTTTTTCCTGGTTCTTTATTCATTTACTTTTTTAGGAATTTACATATTTGGACATATCCTTTAACTTGCCAGATAAGTAGAAAGAAAGCTCTTCAATTTGTCTATATGGATACCACAAGCCAATGCAGTAACTATGGGGACCATTTTTCATTGGAGTTCGTCGGTTACAATCTTAGCACTTTTCACATTTATTTCCCCATGTGTTTAATATTAAATCTGTTGTTAGTTGACACTGTGTATGCTACTTCAGCCCTGATGTGAGCTCAGATCTGAGATATAGATAATCTGCTACTTCAGAAGCTAGTATTTGTTCTCTGCACCCAAAGTAACTCCTGTTACCTGTGCGAAACAATTTTATCAAAGTGTTTCAAACATTGCCTGTCTGGGTGAATAGCATCTGACCAGCCAGCACAAAGGTCTAAATTGTTGAAAGAATGTCTCTTCAAACCAAAAAAACTACAAATCGGAAAAGGTAAAATCAAGAGCTTGTGTTTTTTGGCTGAGTACAATAGTTCTCTGTTTGCACAGTTGCCCATGGGTCCACCAGGACTTTCATGTGAAGTGAAGCAGAGTTTTTGCCAGCCAGCTCTACATCTGTCCCCTTTACTAAACACTTGAGCATTCATAGCGTTCACTTCCAGGATCTGCTGAGCTTTTGCATCATCAGACAGCAGACTGGCTCCAAAGTCGTTATTTACTTTTCTCTCACACCCTCCCAGGAGAAAAGGAAGCAGTCAGATGCTGGACTGCTTATGTTTACATTCTCAACCTGCCAAAGTGGGGGAGAATTAAGTGGCTCTGACTCTGTTAATTGGGCGTTAATCAGGTGTTGCTCTAATTAAAAGGCAGTTCCGCCCTGTTGGGCCCTGGTAATGAGTTTGTTATTAAATCCACAGAGGATTTTTGTCTCTTTTTCAATTTACCAATAGGCTAGTGCTTAATTGCTGTGTAAATTAGAGGAACGTCCTTGAAGGTCGTGTTGCATCAGCATGGGATCCATGAACAGAATTGTTCTACAGAGACATTCAAACTGCACATTCCTCCAATGCACTGCTGCCACTTCTGTCTGGTGGTGCCTCTTGATACAGCGTTTTATTTGGGCTCAACTGTCATTTTCTAAATCAAACTTCTCAGAATCTTATTTATGAAATTGAAACTCACGAATGGTACATTTACCACTGTAAATAAATGCACTTGTAAAAGAGATTTCCTTTGTCCCTCAGAGAGCTTTTGAATCCCGCACCATGTGCTCTCTGGGCTCTTGAAAGCACTTTGTAGTTAATGGCGACCAGCATCTCATAAACAAATCCTCCCACTTTCAGTTTGTGCCACCACAAATTCTGCTTTTTCACCTCTCTGTAGGAAATAGAGCAAAGGTCAAGAATGCCTTTACACTGTCAACATGTGAGAAACACAGCCTGGGTAAAGCCATTTGTTTTGCTTTCGTAGAATCTACAGCGACGGGGCACGGATTTTACTGCACTGCCCTTATGCCATATAAAGCATTTGTCTGTGCCCCTGTGGGTCTCTCATTGCATTTACTCAGACAAATAAACTTGCCAGGTGGCAAAGCGAGCCACTTTTTCATCTGAATTTTATAAGTTTGTACAACAGCAGGGGTGAAAAAAGTAAAGAGATGGCACCTAAAGACTGTTATGTTCTCTTTTACCTTTTGGTGGTGCTAGTGTAGCATCCATGGCTTTGCCACTTTCAAAGAAATCTTCTGAAAATGGGAATACGCTGCTATTATTTGATGAGTAATGAAATCACAAAAGTTTGTTCATTTATGCATATGTGCATGTGTATGTGATGATGTTCTTTTTAGGTTGACAAAACGTGATTAATATTCTCAACCACATTTCAGAGAAGTTTGAGGCAGAATGTGTCAGACTCCTTAATAAGTCAAGTTTTGTTTGGCTTGATCTGGGTGCACGATGAATTATGAAATAAAGCACAAACCTTGTGCTTTTTGCAGCCTCATTTCTCTGTGGTTTTCATAATTCACTCAGAACATTTGTTACTCTTCAAGCAGGTTAATGCTGTTAGGTTCAAAGCAAAGATGCTTAGGAAATACACAGAGACAAGACAGCAGGGGATAAACCGACATAAAGATCAGAGGAGGAGAGAACAAAGGGGGGAGAGGGGATTTCAGATGTCACAAGATAGTTTTAAACCATCCCCATATTCTCCACTGCTTTGTATAGTGGCACATTTCGATCAACTTTGTGCGTTCCTTTCTCTATCATCACAACCCAACTTGCTCTCTGTACTAAATGTTGAGGTGAAGTCAAAATCTTTGACCACTGCAGTCTTGTGACCTCTACTGCACTGTTATTAGTATAAGTGGACACTCTGAAAATGGAAAAGTCGGGAAATTTGATGTCTGCAGTCCTACAATCTCAGATAAAGCAGACAGAGATGGGAGTGCATGAGAATGTGGTGAGAGCACACCCTGTGTCCTTCAGTCATTGTTCTTGTAGGGACTCAGTTCATCTTGCCTGCAGAATCTGCAATGAGCCATTGCTCTTTGTGACTGACATCCCACCCAGACCACTTCACTGATTATGTTTGTTTTGCAGAACTGAGTGTGAAAAGGCAGTCTGGGTCAGGGATAAAAGGGGTTTCTTGATCATTTGACTGTTTATTCACTGCATTTGGCAGCACACGTGTTTGCTGTTTCTAGATCTAAAATAATCTTCCTGTCTTTTAGTTTATACCTGTAAATCCCTGTGATACAATTTCCAGGCAGTAACCATGCCCGTAAGTGGCTTCGTCCTGGACATTTTGGTCCAGAAAATGAAGCTATAGCCACATTCTTGTCACTCTAATCATCCGTGGCCAACTGTAGCCTCTCTTGTCTCTTATCTCTGTATAACCAAGAAAATTAAATTATGAATATAATCACTTGGCAGAGATTTAGAAGCTTGCCTTTGCTTTGCATATAGAGTCTGATTGCTTTAGGGACCTTTTGTGTGAAGTTACTTATTGGCATATTTATGATAATGAGCTATGCTCTACTTGGGAGTCAAACACCTTTTCACAGCATAAAGAAATGGCATGAAATAGTATAGTCGGAGGGAGAAGCAGGAATAATATCTATGAATGGCAGACTAGGATGTAATTGTCATCGCGAAAATACATTTCTACGGCTGAATAATCTGAAAAAAGATCTTTGATACAATGCGAACATTTAGACAGTCAAGAATGGGCTCAGAATTATTCTTTATTTATCCAGTATGTGTTAATTTGATCGATTGCAAGCAACATTTTCATTATCGAGTTTCTTTGCACGTAGCATAAATGATTTCATTAATTTAAGTTGTGTTAATGGTTTGTCATTATGGCGTGTTGGACTTTATTATCCACCACTTTAATCTACTCAAAAACATGGTTATAAATACGTGGTTTTTGATGATAGCAGGAAGTTGCTCTACAAAGAAAGAACCCATGCATATATGGGTGGAACATGCACTCAATAAGAACCTTTTGCTTTGATGGGATTGTGATAACAATTGCATACTGCGAAACCCCTTAGAAACAAGCATCTCTTTTAAATAAAGTAGGCAAGGAGCTATTTAGTGAATGAGAAAGACAGCATAATTCCTGGACTTACTGATGCCAAACTGCAAAGAACAGAATTCTACTCAGCTCAAAGGAATTCCACACACGTCAGTTCCGCTGACTAAATAAACAGTTCCTATTACCCCCTTTGTCCCTGTCTCCCCTGTGCGAATTTCACAAAAAGAGAAGAGTTGAATGAGAATGCTGCACCTCCCTCAGGACACAAAACAGAAAGTTAGTATAGATAGCACGAGAGGTGAATGACTAGCCGTATAGAATTTTTATCATCCTTTTCACAAGACAGCTTTGACAGATCAACTCAGATTTCTTTCCCTTTTATTCCCAATTCTGTTTGGGAGATTATTTGCTTATGCAGAGACTGTTATACTTGTTTGTATACACAGACCAGCAAATGCAAAACTGTATTGATGCCATCAGATTTACCAGGTCCCAATGCTGCTGCTGAGCAGGTGGATGGTCTGTTTGTTGTGATCTTTACGTATTCAGTGCTAGTTACACTCCCCTCCAGCTACAGGGACCACATGTTTGTTGGCCCTTTCCTGAGGCATTTCTGTGTTCTGCAACAGTGAACAAATGCCACGTGCCCCTGAGTTGTTCTCCACCGCTCAATTCTTTTCCACTGTAGTGCAGTCCACAGGCTACATTTGACTCCATAAAACGAGGACATTCTTTACTATTGTTTGCAACAAAAAAAGAAAAAAAATTAAAAGGTTGGAAATGTCAGTTCCTGTGCTCATAAAGTCACTGTCATCCCCACCAACGGCAAAATGCTGTGAACTGGTGAAATAACAGCTCCCTGCTGGATCATATGAATCATTGCGATGACTTGTTGATAAATGCTGAACCACCCAGGCTTTGGCTCCAGCAGTCATTTCTCTCCCCAACTGGACTGACTGCCAAATGACAATAGGCTTCTAGCACAGGCACCCACCTATCCACAGCTTCCTCACCAGCCCCAATTTTCATCTCCCATAATTACTGCAGTCCACACATAAGGTTGATGATAAGTCACTCTGAATCAGGCCCAAATCTGCCAAGATACCTTGTCCATTGTTCCCTTGTCTTTGCTCTGGCAGGAGTAGTGAGGAAAAGGGCACGGCTGTCCAAGACTCTCTTGAAATGGACTTTATGCAAAAGACAAGGACATAATAAGCTGCGCGAGGCATAGAGAAAAGACCTCTTTGTGTTTGGTGGAAAGTTAAGACCAAAGACAGTTGGTGGTTTGAGTTGACAGACAACAACACTGCTCTTTTCAAGCTGTTTAACATATAATGGGACACTTTTTTCTCTCTACATTTCTCCCTGGTGGTCATGATTTGCTCATTACATAAATGGAAAGTGACTGAGGAAGTGTGTTAAGAGTGGAAATAGATAGAAAGTGCAGTTAGGAGACAAATGCTGGGAAATCTAACTCTCAAGATTTACTTTCAGTCTCAGTTCATTGAAAGAGACCATAGATATTCCTATTTATAGAGTAGTAGCTTTATTTTCTGGAGTCTAAAGGCTGTATATTAGGCCTCTTATCGTTCCTGTTGAATTCATTCTATTCTATTTCCTCTTCTTAAGGTTATCAGCTGGAAGAATCTTCTCTGCTTTGATTGGTCAGCAGATTTATCTAAAGTGTCATATAATAAGTGTGGTATAATAAACTAGAAAAATTTAAAACCAACAAGAGTACTTCAGGCAGCCACAGCAATTTTCCAAAGCTGCTTAAACAATTTGCAAGGAAAGTCTCTCTTTACTGATGTTTGAAATCTTAAGTTGTTGTTTGCAAGATACAACCATTCATCTGACAGACCTCCTGTGTAAATGAACCCCAGACCGATGACTGATGGTCTGGTACATGGTGAAACACATGACAAATGTGACTGTTCACTGGCATCAAGAGGACTGCTCTTCAATCAGGAAAATCTGCATTTAATTGACACAGAATTAAAATCATTGTTATTCTGATTAAGTACAGCAGTCTTGATTCCCAAGCCCTATCTAGTGCTCCTAAATCAGATTTAGGATTGAATCTTTTCAAGTTTATCATGAGTGGATCAGCATCCATCTGGATGTTCCCCTCATATGCCGGTCTATATTTCTATACGGCACCACAGCAGTGACATGCAATATTTTTCACTTTAAAAAAAGCCCTTATGGAAGCTGTGGTTGAACTTATTCGTCACATTGCGTAATTGAGAAGGGTAGAGAGAAGGGGAACTGGTCCAAAACTAAAAAAGCTCAGCTGGGCTGCAGGCAAAAGTAATATGCAAGACCAGGACGGAACTAATCTAGCCTCAAAACTAGATTTGTCAATAGAACACATTTTTGGAGAGCCAACATGTAACACTGTTTCGTTAGACTGTTGGTGGCTTTTGTGGGTTGTTATCTGTGGAAGCTAGGATGTTGTCCTGTGTCTGCTCCGTGTTACAGCTCCATCAGTCAAAATGAGCCAAGAGCAGACGCAGCCAAGCCACACAGGGTCACGCAAGGCCTCAAGACAGCATCCCTCAGCTGGATGACACTGTGTGAGTGAAAGCACACAAATCGGTGCTACAGGGGGAGGGAGAGCTAATTAACAGTCTCACTGGAACAATTACGGATTTGATTATTAACAAAACTTGAGGAAGAAGGGAGCAGATGAGGGAAACCAGGCAGTGGGAGCGAGAGATGGAAAGATGAATGAGGGGAGATTTGAGTAGATGGGTAAGGGGTTTGTTCTGGCAGCATTGATGAATAGCTGTGTGCTGGAGTCTACCTCTTTGTGTATTAATATACCAAATCATGTCACAGGATGAGAGATAGGAGAGGTGGACAGAGGCAGCTAAGTTCATTGGGAGTTGTCTGGGAGATGCTGAAGAAGTTGCTGATCGTGCGGCGAAAGTGCAATTAAAAATTTGCATACCAAATGCTCAATATATTTCCTGACACACTGGAAATATGAGATTGAAATGCCCCCTTTACCCTGAATGCAATCACGACGATTCCCGCATGACATTTTGAAATATCATGGTGTAATTTTGGTTGGTCTATTCAAATGTGAACATTGCTGACATTTCGTTTCTTCTGAGGGAGATTCCACAACTGCTGTGGAATTCATCCATTGTCCATTTCCTCTATTGACACATTTCCTTAAGCTGCAGAGGGACTTGAGTTGTTAGAGGACTACCCCACCCCATCTTTGGCTTATAACGTTCTACATGGAAGGCTTGATCTCTTTCTACCTTCCCTCATCACAGCCTGCAATCAGTTGTAAGCCTTTTTGTGTTATCCATTCTGATCTATAAGCCCATTTATCCTCTGCAACTTCTTTACTGAAAAATCCTTACTCCATCTTTCTTTTTTGTCTTTAAATCTCTCTCCTGCTCCATGTCCATTTTGTTTGTAGCCTGTCTCTTTGTTTTTTTACTCAGACACATCTAAAATCCAAACCATTAATTTTTTCAAGGATTGATTAACGAGACGCAAATATATTTAATTGTCTTTACTTTAGTCAGCCCTCTACTCCATCCAACAGCAATCTCCCAAATCCTAATTTCCCCTAATATGTGTAGTGCCTCTGCAGTACTTTTACACCTGCTCTTGTTCATGCTAGTACACTCCTTGCACTTGTTTGGATTTATTATATGAGAAAAAAACATCTCATCCAAGTGTGCGGTGTCAGTTCAGCGGTGCATTGAAAACTCCTGTATGTCCTCCTAAACTGCAGCCTGTGGTCCCCCTGGGTCCGCTCCTCACATTCATAACACCCCTCTCCATGCCAGGTGGCTGTCTCCACAAGTCCTCTTTCCCATAAATCAGACTGCCTTTGAGTTGATCAATAACAAGTCAATTAGCAGGCATAGAGAGATGAGGGTCTCAGGGGGTCAGTGCTTGTTTGTCAGGCAGACATCTGCAGCTCTGTCTCTGTCTGCCACAGAGCTAGGTGTGTCTTTACCTTGGAATCATGTGGCTACTTGGGCATCATAAATCTAAATATCACCTATAAATAGGCCTGGAACATCTTGCAACAATCCATCATTTGCTTGTTGTTGGATATGTAATGAATCAAATGTTGCACACCTCAAATATCTCACCTATGTCAGATGAATCTGAATATGTCTTGAAAACGACTCCTTTTTTACTCTAATTTTAATCTTCAGAACATACTATAAATAATTGCGGCTGTCAAAAAAAAAAGAAGAAAGGAAAAAGAAATAGACAAATAAACAGAACTGTGACTGCTGTCTGAGGTCACAATCGGCCATATGCACCAAGTATAAGCTGCAAAGCCTGCCAGTATTCATCCTGCTCCCCTGTTAAGCTGACAAGAGTGGGAGAGACCCAACTGTTGTTTGGTGCCCACAAACTGTGTATATAATGACTTGGCTGGCAAATCCAATGCAACCGAAACAGGCTCCCGTGGCGCATACACCAGATTAATCCTCTGGATAATTACAAACAAGAATGAACTTGGGCAAATACCTCGCATACCTGCTGAGACGTTACATCAAATGATGGTGTAAAATTAAATGTAATTTTTGAACAGTGATAGAAAGACAAGACTTAAAGAGATTAATCTTCAACCAGAAGGAGGGGATGAAATAAGACATGCAGAAAACACACAAAAAAACAAACTGAAGTTTTACTGGGAAACCAAACCCTTCATATTTTAGTTTTGAGACCATGCAGTTTCTTTCCACCTCGGAAAGTCACCTACGTTGCTCTGAGAATTGACAAAAATAGTAAATAACAAGAAAACACATTGATATTATTCACTTGTATGGCTCCTTCTGCCTATTGGACTCACAGAAGATTGGAAAACCACCAGTAACAATGACTGAATTCCTATTATTTGCATTTATTCATTTCACCCTTAAAATCACACACAATTACTCTGTTTTCCTTTTTAGATGTTGTAATGTGATGAGTTTTGGTAGTATTTGCCTTTTCTAAAGTCTACTGGTGTCTCTTTTTCTCTGGGGCCACCTGGTCGACACAGAGCTACAGATGGATTTGAGGAGCTGACGATCAGGGTGTTGTGGTAAAAAGGTTGTTTGTCTGGGGTGAGCTTCTGGATTCTTTACGTACGGCTGTTGCAACTGCTCTTTGGGGTCGACCTTGTTTGTGTTTGTGTGTGTGTGTGTGTGTGTGTGTGTCAGCTGCTCATATCAGGTGGCAGAATTTGTCTGTTGGGATCCCATCACTGGGTGGGTATAAATACGTCCCACAATGGAGCATTCCCACTGTATGAAACCCCAACTCCTGGCTTCAGAAGCTCCAAACTGATATTAACTCTGAAATATACAAAGCATATGTACTGTGCAGGGGCCTAGCTCCTGGGCCTCCCTTGTGCTCCCGTGCAGAAAAAGCCCCCAAGGGAGCTGATGCCAGCTGAGACTGAAAAACAAGGTAAGAACCCAGCTGATACACTTGCACATAGGCTCAGCTGTTTGTCTCAGATGAGTGTTCAGCATATGAAGCAGACAGACAAGTCAGGAAATGGAAGAGGCTGACAGATTTAAACCTCCAAGGGGAAAAAAGCAAGAGAGAACCCTTAAAAATGGATAAAGTGAGGAATCTGCAAAGTGTATGCCATATATGTGAAATGGTAAGACTCTAGATTTGACATAATTGTGTCTAAGATATTCTACATTAGTGTCAGAGCAAGTAATGAAAACTAGATTGCATGAGAGCGGGAGAAATAAGGTCTATCTGTGCAGCGGTGTCATTGATTTTACCTGTGATGGGCCTGATGACTATTTGGCTGGTGTAACTTGTAGACAGAGAAATGTTTTGTTTTGAATCATTACTTATGGTGTTTATTCAATATGGAGGTTTCTGGTTTTCTTTTCCCCTTCCATTTGGTCAATATCTATCTTTTATGAAATAAGCTTTTTGTGTCTGGCATTTTTCCTTGCATTTAAAATGCTGGTTGAGGGCTCTCTGGGCTCCAATTTTTTATCTACAGCCAAGAAGATGATGAATGTAAATGACTGACATCCTTTTTGGGAAAACTTTTTTATCTAGAATTTCAAAGAAAAAAACAACAAAAGAAACGATTGCACACAATTGCAGTGATGGGTTTGAAGAAAAGGCAAATTAAGTTTTTGGTTTGTATTGAACCACTGGTGCTTGTCTCATGCATTTTACACAAGGTGTAAATGCCACTTATAGTATAATACAACTTTCTAGGTCAGAGCTCACTACTCTATTTTCAATGGGATTTCAAGGTGCGTAGAGTTTAAATTCAACAGGAATCAACTAAAGCTTTAGCTTGTGTCATGGGCTCAATAAAGATAACACACTAAGGTGAAATGCTCTTGGGGGATTTGAAGCTGCAAGTCTTTTCTGTGTGTCCATTATCTCACAGACGGCTGGAATGATTTTTATTCTTTCTCATCTCTTCTTTGTCCTTCTACTTCCCACGTTCTCAGGTCTAATTTACAACATGGCAGCAGAAGATCCAGAGACAGATGGTCCCAGATCCTACATGCCTGATGAGCTCCAGCACCCGCATTCAAAGTTTTCCCAGTGGAAGTTTAAGTTGTTTCGAGTAAAGTCCATGGAGAAGGCCCCTCTACCCTGTGAGACACAACCTGAGAAAGAAGTCTCATTAGACATCCCACTCCCTGCAGGTTCAAAGGCAGAGGCAGATCATGGTGTGGGTCCAGCAAGTGTCATGAAATTGTGCCTTGGGGGAAAAAGTAAAGAAAATGTTGAGGCAGGCAGGAGAGTTGATATGAAGCTCCAGGAAATGGGCACCCACATGGACCACCTGAGGTGAGTACCTGTCACATCTATTTAGATTCTGCTTTGTTATGTGCAATAGTTTGAAAAAGTTTGATAACTGTTCTTATTTTCTTGTCCGAAGGTGCTTGTGCCGTGTCTGTGGAACAGCCCTGAGAAAAGTCAAAGGCCCAGTTCATGACGTTCATGGAGATTTGGATGACGTGACCAAGTGTGCACTGCGTAAAATGGGCTGCAGGTTCACAAACTGGCGGGAGGTCATCATGAAAGTCTTCAAAGTGGATGTGTCCGGGGACACAGAGTCTATCCACCCTCTATCCTTCTGCCATCGCTGCTGGATGGTAGCCATACGGGGCGGAGGAGTCTGCAGCTTCACCAGGACAAAAATCCCTGAGTGGAAACCCCACTCTTCCCACTGCCTCCTTTGCTTTCCCAGGAAAGCTTCATTCCAAAGGACTGGGAGGAAGAGGAGTAAAGTGGTTCCTAGAGCCCAAGTGCTGGCCAAAAGGACCAGGTGGGACCATGGGGGCAGCATTGCAGTTGGTGAAAAGAGAGTTTTGAGGCCCTTTGGAGACAGCCATGGTCCCACGTCGAGGTTCTGGAGGAAAACCAGCATCCAGAGAGATCAATGGGTGAGGAACATCACACGCTGCCAGAGAGACCACCTGAGTACCAAGTTGATTGCAGAGACGCTCCCGGTAGACTTCGTGGTTTCTTTCACCTGCCTTGTGTGTGACCACCTGCTCTCTGATCCAGTTCAGTCCCCCTGTGGGCATCTCTTCTGCCGCAGCTGTATTATAAAATTTACCCATGTTCTAGGACCTCGCTGCCCTGCTTGCAATTCTTCCTACTCCCCTGATGATCTCATCCCCCCTGCCAAAACCTTTTTATCAGCATTGTATTCCCTGCCTCTGCTTTGCCCCTGCAATGGCTGTGGCGAGCATGTAAGACTGGACTTATTCAAGGCACACTGTCTGAGCCACGAGCTGGAGAAAGATGCCCACCAGCATTCATCAGAATTTGACAACTGCCTGCTCGCCAATAAAGGAGGAAGACCCCGGCAGCACTTGCTCTCATTAACCCGTCGTGCTCAGAAACACCGACTGAAGGATCTGAAGAACCAGGTGAAGGTGTTTGCAGACAAAGAGGAGGGTGGTGATGTGAAGTCTGTGTGTTTGACACTCTTCTTGCTTGCGCTGAGATCCGGGAATGAACATCGTCAGGCAGATGAGCTTGAGGCCATGATGCAAGGTGAGAAGCGATTCTAAGCCTTTTGTTTAGTTAATGCAATCCCAAATCACCATGAGAGAGGGACTCTGACAAACATTAATTATGATTATGCTTGCTCATAAATATGTTCACTTACCTCTGAGGTGTAAAGGTATCTCATAAATAATATTGAGTTGAAAAGTTCAACACTAAGGGGTATAGAAGAAGGTTTTTCTGGGATTTGAATTGGAAAGCATTTAATTGTTGTCCATCTCTGTCTATTAAAACATCACTGAAACATGCCCTACTCCTCCCTGTTTCTCTCCCACTTTCACTTACCATGTCTGTCTGTCTCTCATTCTCACACTCCCTTTAACACACAATAACAACTCGTGTGAAGGGGCTGTTAGAATCAAAACAACATCAGCAGCCCTTGTATCTGCAAATTACACAGACAGCACCATCCTCCTCTCTGGGGAATAGAAGCCAGCTGGTGTCTGTTTTCATCTGCAGCCAATACATCACTTTTGCCAGCTTCACTGATTCACCCCAGTTATCTTGTAACATTTGGAAATGAGGAAATATTGAATTTAGTCAAATTCAGATTTGGTCTTGAATTTTTCATTTTTTTCTGTTTCGATGGCAGAATTACTCCTAATGTGTTAAATCAAATGAGGAAATGTTAGACTCAGCATTTCTTTTCAAAACACTGGAACTTGGTGTCCAATAATTCTAATAATCTTTCTGTCCTTTCTTCTTGTTTTTGATGTTATTATCTAGCCTTTTTCAATTTATGTCTGAAACCTTCTCTACTTTCTTGTTCTGTCTCTGCAGGCAGAGGCTTTGGATTGAGTCCTGCTGTGTGCTTGGCCATCCGGGTCAACACTTTCCTGAGCTGCAGCCAGTATCATAAGATGTATCGGACTGTCAAAGCCACAAGTGGCCGCCAGATCTTTCAGCCTCTGCACACACTCCGAGCTGCAGAGAAGGAGCTCCTCCCTGGCTTTCACCAATTTGAATGGCAGCCCGCTCTAAAGAATGTGTCACCATCTTGCTATATTGGCATCATCAATGGTCTCTCTGGATGGATGTCTTCCCTGGATGACGCCCCAGCTGACACAATCACCCGGCGCTTTCGCTATGATGTGGCGCTGGTGGCTGCACTGAAAGATTTGGAGGAGGACATCATGGAGGGACTGAGGGAAAGTGGGATGGAAGATAGCGCTTGCACCTCAGGCTTCAGCGTAATGATCAAGGAATGCTGTGATGGCATGGGTGATGTCAGTGAGAAACATGGCGGAGGACCAGCTGTTCCTGAGAAAGCTGTCCGGTTCTCTTTCACTGTTATGTCCGTTTCTATCCAGGCAGAGGATGAACAGGAAGAGGTTACAATTTTCAGAGAGCCAAAGCCCAACTCAGAGCTGTCCTGTAAGCCCCTTTGCCTAATGTTTGTGGATGAGTCAGACCACGAGACCCTCACAGCCGTCCTGGGGCCTATAGTTGCAGAGCGTAATGCGATGAAAGAGAGCCGGCTCATCTTGTCGGTGGGAGGTCTGCTGCGCTCCTTTCGTTTCCATTTCAGGGGTACAGGATACGATGAAAAAATGGTGCGCGATATGGAGGGTTTGGAGGCCTCAGGGTCCACTTATGTCTGCACTCTGTGCGACTCCAGTCGTGCAGAGGCTGCCCAAAACATGGTGTTACATTCCATCACCCGCAATCACGATGAAAACCTGGATCGTTATGAAATATGGAGAACCAACCCATTTTCCGAGTCTGTGGATGAGCTGCGTGACAGAGTCAAAGGTGTCTCTGCCAAGCCCTTCATGGAGATGCAGCCCACATTAGATGCGTTACACTGTGACATCGGAAATGCCACAGAGTTCTACAAAATCTTTCAAGACGAGATCGGGGAGGTGTACAAAAAGAGCAACCCCAGTCGCGAGCAACGGCGCTGCTGGAGGGCAGCCTTAGACAAACAGCTGAGGAAGAAAATGAAGCTAAAACCAGTAATGAGGATGAATGGGAACTATGCTCGCAGGCTAATGACCCTGGAGGCTGTGGAGGTGGTGTGTGAGCTGGTGCCCTCAGAGGAGAGGAGAGATGCCCTGAGGGAGCTCATGAAGCTCTACCTCCAGATGAAGCCCGTGTGGCGCGCTACCTGCCCGGCCAAGGAATGTCCTGACCAGCTGTGCCGCTACAGCTTTAACTCCCAGCACTTTGCCGACCTCCTGTCCTCTACCTTCAAATATAGGTACAATGGAAAGATAACCAATTACCTGCACAAGACCCTGGCACATGTGCCCGAAATCATAGAGAGGGATGGATCCATAGGTGCCTGGGCCAGCGAGGGAAACGAGTCAGCAAACAAGCTGTTCAGGCGTTTCAGGAAGATGAATGCCCGTCAGTCAAAGGCCTTTGAACTGGAGGATGTGCTGAAACATCATTGGCTGTACACCTCCAAGTACTTGCAAAAGTTTATGGAGGCTCACAAGGACTCTGCAAAAGCAATGCAGGCGACGATAAACCCCATCGAAATCCAGGATGATGAAGACATGTCAGTGGAAGTGACTGAGTGTTGATTGTTCCTGTTGCTAACACTTAGTAATGGATTGTTTTTTAGTTAAGTGTGGTCTCATTGTTCATTTCATTATTCATTGTGAATTCATTTATATCAGAAAAAACAATCATTCTTCCTCCACTTCTTATTTTGGATGTTACTAAATATGTTTTTATTGAATGTTTTGCATCAAGTTGAGTAACTGTGGTTTTTAAGAACATCCTTTCCTAATTTATTAGTTTTTGCTTTACTTGTTTTAAACTTGTCTTTGAACTGCTTTGGTTCACTCACATTCACCGCACTTCAAAGACAGGAAAACAAAGAAACTTACTATAAAAGAAACTCACAACTTTGCTTTTATTGTTTTTAACTCTACTTCTATCTTTGCTGTATGTGAAATATAGTGAATTTTATTGTATTGCAAGGATATGGCACATTTATGAATTTATATGGAGGGGATATTTATGGAAACAGATGAAAGAGCTGTAAGTCATGGAGTGAAATTGTGTTAAAAAGACCACATTTGTGGCCACTGTATTAATACATCATTTTAGCTGGAGGAAAATGCAATCACAGAGACCCAAATGTTCTTTGTTTCATGAGAGCTCTCTGAAATAGATTACTTTAGTGCTTTATCGTGGGGTCCCTGAGGGCCAGAAAAGATGCCAGGTCACTTGAGCCATTTTTAAAAATCTCTTTCAGCTTTTGCACAGTGCAGAATAGATTATACTTATTTTAATTCCTCTCATAAAATAAAACATCCACTGACCTTTTTGTCGATATGATAGAAATATAGTATGGTCCATTACAGAGCTTAATACCCCATGGACTATCAAGCAGGCAGGGATTTTTCTCAACTTTCTTGTGTAACCTGACTCTTTTTCCTGGATGGTGTTTCTTCACTGCCACTGTTGACAGAGAAGAAGGATAGGCGGGAGACAGTAAGACCTGACGTAAACTGATTTGTTGGCGAGTTTATTTCTTTGATTGATTGATTATATTGTTTCTGTCTGCCCTCACCATTTTGAATTGTGACAAGCAATTTTGTTTTCTTACTTGATTGAATGCTTGATTTTATTTATTCATAACTTTACCCACATGACCACATCGAAATCTTCTTGTCATTGGATAGTTGTCAGGCTCCTACTAGAGGACCAATTCTTGAGTGCATTAGATTTCAACTTGTCTCATGTTTTTGTTTTTGCCATAATGAATTGCATTTCCAAACTAACAGATGATGGATGATTCACAATTTTTCACTTGCTCATATTTCACATAGTGTTTCCTTATTCTATGCTTACTCACATACACTAAATATCAGGTGAACTGCTTACTGGATTTAGAGGAGATTTCCTCTGGTGATATATTTTAGATACAACCAAATATTACACTAAAACTGCAGAGACATTTATACACATTGATTCATTTTACATCTTGTACAGCTGTGGATTCATAAAGCCAGAGAACTGACTTTTAAATGACAAGTTGTTTATGTGGAAGAAGTTTGTACTTTTTGTCACTGTTTTAACCAGAGATTAAATAAAAGACTAAATCTGACTTGAGAATCTTCTTTTTTTCAAAATAAAGCAATTTAGACCTGATTTAAAATGTAAAATGTTCATTTTATCAACTGCAAGGTATAATCACTGTCGAACACAAAATCTATAATTTATTTACTTTACTTTAGCACAGCTATCTAATAAATATAGCCAATAAAAGAACTTGTGAAAAACACAGTAATAAGTTAAATTCTACCATTAAATAGTTGATGAATAAAGATATAATCAAATAACTTAACATTAATGATTATCTATGTAATAAATTAAAAGTATAAACAGTTCAGGTAGACTACATTTGTTACTCTTAGTGTTAACCCAAGGTGGAGTTTCTGAGAGCTTTGTCTCCGATTTGGGGAGCAAGCACACAGATAGGCAAGTACACTGCCACTAAATGGCTTTTCCCTCTTGGCAGTTCTTTAAGCTTACCACATATCTTTCCTTAGCTTCTTAAACTTTCACTATATTTTGGAGGACAATTAAGCTTGAACTGCTTTAACCATCTCAAACAGTTTAAATATACTCCAGAGATCCCCCATAGAAGGATTTATTTTTTCTTAAATCTCTCACTCTTCTATTTTTTCTTCATAAGTTGTCGCTTCTGTGTCTGTTCAGCAGTAAACTGCTGAGTTGTCCACTTAAGTGTTGAGCTCTCACAGATGGGACAAACTCCTACACCCAAATTGTGACATTTTTGCTAGTGAAGCAAGCTTGAATTGAATACCTGCCACACTTAAGTTTCACCATTGTCATGGTACCTGTAACTTTCCACATGTTGTCATTCCTGACAGGACAGACTCTTGTTAAGTATGCAAAGCTGAAAGTTGCCTGAACAGAGGAATAGGTATAATAAAAGTGATGATTTAACATCATACCTAAGCCCCCATCACTCACTAAGAAGTGTGCCAAATTTGTTATTTTGTGTCCATGATGTTTCTGTTGACAGTAGTAGTTTAAATTTGCAACAGTCTTTTTTTTATGAAAAAAATGGAAGACTGCCTAATTTCTTGAAAATTCTTAGATGAGTAATACAAATGAAATATTTCATGATATCTCGACGGGAGAGTTTATGGAAAAAATGCATCAGTTTTTTTTCTCCATTAATTTTGTACATAAGTAGCTTTGAACAGCATTCATGCCCATAGTCAATAATGGTTGACAATGGTTGTCTTTTAAGAACATTTACTTAAGTGTACAAAAGAACCGACTGACAACAAAACCCATTTAGAAAAGATGGATAAATCGTCCTCTTGAACCATAAGAAATATAAACTAAATAAACATGAAGACAAAGTTGAAGGATTTTATTTTGTCTTTTATTGTCATAATACATTCAATTGAATAACTGCCAGGTTCAGTTTGAACAGGATATACATTAAAGTCACTTTCTAGTTCGCAAAGAATCAAACAGAATTACAGCTTATTACAGTCTGTCCAATCAAAAACAATGGGAAAAATGATCACAAGTCAGCTAAATCTGTGCTGCTTTCTTCTAGTTACATAATTGAGAATCTTCCTACTCAAAAGCAAACAGGAATTAAGATCAACTTTGAAAATCCATCTTGAAAATGACAATATATAGATTTAATGAAACTGTTAGTCAAAAAGCCTCTTGAAAAACCCTTTTTTAGCTGGGGACATCTTGTACATAAGTGGTGCTTTTCTCTCTTTGGCTTTGATGGGGGTGCGCTTCAGGGGAATGATATGTCGAGGAGGGGTCATCTCCTGGTAGGGCAGGCCTCCGTGATCCATACAGAAGTACTTTTTGTTGCCCTGAGAGAGTCTGAGCAGCAGAGTCTCAGACAGCTCCATGCACTGGGCATGGACCCAGTGCCCCCCCTCTCCTCTGGAGCAGAAGATCATGGCTGGCCGATGGAGCTCAGTGGAGTAGTATGGTTCCCAAGTGTTGGGGTCCACCCTACAGCCAAGGCAACATTTGATCCAGTATCCTGTTTGTGATTCATCCTCCTCATCTTCTTCATTGTAAGTGTCAGCATCTCCATCACTGCTGTCCTCCAGCTCATGTGGCTCACGACCAAAATAGAGCTCTTCCGAGTCCTCAAGAGGAGTAGAATTTTCATAATCGGTTGACTCTTGGCTACAGGCCTGGGTTCCTTCATCCTCAATGGACTGTTCCCCCATTTGGAAGCTGACCTGATAGAAGTAATGCGTATCGGATTGGGATGACCTTCCCTCAGTGGGTACAGCAAGGAGGACACATCCCTCACCAGCGCTGCCACCAAACCAGGTGCGACTATGAATGATGTCTGGAGTCCACTTGGGTGGTTCCAGACTTTCAAAATGGATCCCTTTCTCATCCAAAATCACTGTGCTGCACTCCATCCTTTTCTGACAATCTGACTGATATCCACCCACAATGACATATTTGTGAGTGGGACCCATACGCGTGATGATGGCACTAGAGATAGATAAGCCAGTGTCTATAGTGTCACAGGTAAGCAAGGGACTGCCCTGCAGGAGCTCAACACGCAAGCGAAATAGGCGAGCTGGACGGGAATCAGATGTGAGTGTGTGACCTCCAATGAAGTAGACACAGTCCTCTCGGGCAATAGCCAAATGGAAGGACTGTCCATCACAGAGTTCAGGTAAAGTGTGAACAGAGGAGCACCCAAACTCCAGATCAAATAGGAATACCTCAGGAGGACAGTCAACAACACTGTTCCAGCTCTCAGTGGTCCGCTCTGCTTTAGGCATGTAGGACCGGCCACCAAAGAGCACACAAGCCGTCTTCCCACGGCTCTGAACCATGCTCACCGTGTGACCATATCGGGCTCCTGGCACTTCACCCACCAAATCTTTCTCTTTGCATCTAAGTGTCAATTTGCGATTGCAGCCACGGCTGTCCATGCTCAGCAGGTACAAGCTTGATGAGATCTCATTGTTTGGAGTGCGGCCACCGTGTATTAGGTAACTCTCTGGAAGTCCGTCGTAGGGGTCAAGGCGGCAGACGGCTGGGCACCGCAGTGGGGGGAGGTAGCACGAGTCGTTGGAGAAGGTGATGGCCCTCAACTTCATCTCACCGCATTTGATGCGTACCCCAAACACGCCCGTTGGACAGGAGCGCTTTGGCCAACCTTTCTGGCCAAACAGGAGCACTTCCCCATCCAGCTGCAGCAGAGAGCAGCCCGGCTGGAGGAGGCTGGCACAGTTCACCGGCTTTACTGGTTGCAAGGTCATAATCCACCAGGTGTCTGTGTCAAAACAGTAATCAAGCACACAAAACAGAATGTAGCAGTCAGCTGTTGTTTTGTTCTGGGGGGGTTTAAATCACTTCCTGTTTATTGCATGATGCATGCAATTACAAAATGTACACATACTTCAACATATATCACTTACAGCTAAGCTTACTAAATCACTATTAATCTTGATGTTTTTTAAATAATGACATTTTTTTACAGCCAGGAGAAACTACGCTTTTGTTTGTACGTCATAGTTTGTACGTCATAGTTATTAAATGATAATAGTGAATAAGCAGAAAGAAAACATATCATGGATGTATATGATATCATGCTGCTGTTCGCAAAACATTCTATTGCTGTAATTTTTTTTTTTCCCAAAATCAAATCAGCAACATTTGAAAATTCCTCCACCTGGACTTTCTTATCTGCCTTGGCTGACAAAAATAACTTCACATTTAAACATTAAATCCTGCAACGGATCTTTAACACAAATAAAAAAAAGTAGAGGGAAAAAAAATTATCAATGACATTGAGTAAATGCCTTTTTAAAAATGTAGCAGCAGCATGGCAACAAATACTTTTCAGCCCAAAGTAACATAGGTTGTTTTTAAAAAGACAACTTACTGTACTATCAGATGTAGGACGTCTCTGCAGTTTGAAGTTTATATTCACTTAGATGAAGCTTAAATGGTCTTTGTTAAGCTGAACTTCGACAAAGGCAGAGAGTGGCAGACTTTCTGAAGCTACTTTGACTCACAAACGCAAAACAGATCTTGAGGTTAACAGTCTGTGACTGCCGCTCGCTGGCAGGTGTGCAGGCTGAATACATCTGGTGAGGCGCTACCGTGCCGGTAATGGATGTCTGCTGCTCTATATCAAAAAGTTTAAAACTGGTATTTCATGGGTTCTGTAAAACAGACACTTTCAAAATATTGACAATATAATATATGTGAAACCTACGAAACCTTCACAAAATATTAAGAATTGTTTTTATCTTTCTCTCAGATGCAGAACAAATGGAGACAGTTGTTTTTGCTCTGCTTTTAGAATTAGTTTTAAAGAAGATTGCATTTTTACCCAAAATAATTAGATTGTGTTATTAAGACCAAAAATTGTGTGTCAGTCAAAGACATCAGCAGAACAGAAATACCCTACAAAAGCTGAGAACATGGGCTTTGGTTTGAACAGAATCCTGCAGAAAAAAATGAGAGCCCATTCTGGGCAATCATAGAGCTGTTTTTTTCTGTGTATCCTATGGTTTTAACAGGCCTTGACTTTGACCACTTGAATCACAAGTCTGAGATTTCACATAGACAGTTAAAATAAAGCCACATGCATGCAGCAAATGTAGACAGACCAAAGGGGAAACTAACCAGAAAAAAGGGAGATCTTAACTAAAATCTAAATCTGAACACTTTCCTCCTTATGACAAACATTTTTCATGGTTACAATTTTCTGATAAAGGCATTTTTGTTCATAATTGCAATAATGATTTACCTCTTTTTGTTGAATGTAGGGCACTTTATTGGTACATATTTTAGCTTAGCTATTAAAATGAAAAATAAATCTTACCATAAGGACTATGAGACTTTATTAAACGAACTGGTGAGGGTATTCCAGTGGTCAATTTGCACTTTTGTTTCATTTCATTAAACCTTATTGATAAATCTGGAGAGTCTCCCATCACATTACTCCTGTATTTTTCCTCAGAAGGTAAGCCCCTTAGGACTGACCTAACAAAAAAATTAGCTAAAACCTGGCCAATCTTGATTCAACACTATCTATTTCTGTACTTTTTTTTTTTACACTCATATCATTGCTGAATGACAACAGCGAGCCATTTATCAGCTGACCCATCAGTTTTTATGTTGCTATGACACTCCCCCATAAAAGGAAAGAAAATGAAAAAAACAAAACAAAATTTTGTTCTTCAACATTGATGAATACATTATAGCTCTCAGTTCAGTCTTGAAATCCTTTGCATATGGCTCTGTTTTAAAGTCGTAATCCACTGTAAAAGCAAAGAATAACAAACACATGCCTAAACCGCTAGAGAAAAACCCTGCTGGAAGCAGCTGTCTACCCACTTATTAGCATAATGTTTTTGTGCACTGAGTGGCTGAGAGAAAACTTGAGGAGTGTGCAAAACAAAGGCAGAAACCACAAGTGCCTGGAAGACCGTTACAGCTTAGAAACACAAAGCAGCAGTGCACCTGTGCGTCTAAACTGCTGCTTACGGGGTTGAGTGGAAGAAGAAAGAATCCGCTGCTTTTAATAAAGAGGATATAATGCGACAAATGTCAGTGGGATATGTGAAATGTTTTCGCTTTCTTTCTCGTTTTACAGAGCTGTTCCTCGTGTTACATTCAGCAGGCTCGGATGCATAAGCCTTTTTCCACACCTGAAGGCATCCAAACGCCAGGGATAGAAAGTCTGCCCACTATTCAGCTACAGCAGGCCTGGCGTGGAAAGTGTGTAGGAGGCAAAACAGTGTGTGGCAGACCCCAGGCCATGCAAGGATTTGTACATAATTGATAGAACAGAGTAATTAGAATCTACGGCAGCACCTGTTTCTGTCCGTTATAATGTATCACTACCTGACTGCTGCTACCCCGAGGTGTGTTTTTGACGGATGACACAGCGACAGCTCAGATGTTCTGAAGATCACTGCGCTGTGGTGTTTATCACTATTTAATGCTATGATAATTGCTCCCCCTTTGTGGTGTTTTGTACTGAGCGTCGGTGATACTTCCATCTCCAGCGGTTAGTGTGGAGTATTGCAATATGCTTGCCAACATTTTTATGATAAGTGACATGCAACACCACAATTTAGCTCTTTGGAAATCAGACCGAAAGTTTTAAAACATTTTTTAATTCCAGTGGTTTTTCACAAGTATTCCAAAGAAATGCCTCAATGGTATTGGTAAAAAGCCTATCCCTGTTCTATGCTATTTGTCAATATCACAGGCAAAATGATTAATTCAAACAATACACGTACTGTCAGTCTCTGTTTCATCTATGAACATATCTGATCCTTTTGGGGTTTTCTCTTTACAGCATTGCATTTTGCTGCTTTTTGCACATAGGTCTGCAGTATTACAAAACCACACCAAAGGGAAGTTAACATCTCCTTTAGAATACACTTCTCTTAATCTGCCACATAAAAACCCAATTGTGGGGTAGACATTTCCTTCCTTACATCACATCAGCATAGACATAATGTGGGTAGAGACTGTCCTCTTCCTCAAAATGTGTCCATGTGGCACTGATGGATCAAACTATCAAACCCATCTGACATATGGCCTTCTGTGTTGGACGTGTTGCAAACTAATTAATTCCAGAAATCAACCCTTTCCTTAAAAACAAACTAACATTGACAAATATTACAGTTTGGTCGAGAGTGAACATTTGAAGTTTACTATTTACTTAATCAAACTCCCATTATTCAATGCTGTTCCTTTTTTAAATGTTATATCTAAATTCATGCTCCACCAGAGATATTTCCTCCTGGGTGAGCAGCAAGGCTGTTAGCTTGTTGAACGCTATGATATCAAGGGTTGTATTCTGCCTTGGCAACAAATCAGATGCTGTTGGAAAACCTTACAGTCTCTCTATGACCCTTTCGAGCTCCTCCAGGCCCGCCTCATTTAGCTCTTCATGGGATGTGACTGTTGTATGCTCAACAAGCGACCTAAAGCCATGTTTTAAGTTGATAGGCTTGGATCCATCCTCACCCTGCTTTTCCCCTCGGCCAGAAAGTAGAGCAATGAGCTGACTCAGACCTTCTGCTGTGAAACTTAACTCCCAGATACGGAAAGATGAGGACGCAGAGGAATAATATTGCAGAGTGAAGAGGAAGTAAAATGTGTCAGCGGTTGGATTTCACACGTGGATCAGATTAAGGTCTTCTACTTGTTGATTCTCTGTTGCATGCTCGAGTCTTGATTGATTGAAGCTTTGAGTAAGAAAACCTCCATAATAGTTAGCAATCACACCAAAACCCCTCATTGACTAACACCTCCCCTGCTTCATCCATCTTAGCACTTTCCTCCTTTATCGCTGTCTGTCTCCTTCAGTTTATCTCTGCAGTCCTCCTCATTGCAGCGAGTCTCGATTTTCTTTAAGCAAATGACCACACTGTTTCAGCGCGGGGGAGTTTACTTCAGATGTGTACACTGAAGCATGAACAGGACCTCAGGCAATGCCAGCTATTGATTTTACCATGATTCTGATTAGAGGGCTCCTTGTTGAAATCAATACCATACATCAGTGGCTTGCACAGTAAAACTGATGGCCTCAAATAAAGTCCCAAATCTAGCCCACGACTAATTAAATGCCGGATTATATTCTAAGGATAAAATAGGTTGAGCACGGTAACTCCTCCACATGCCTGTATTTACGCATTCTGTGAAAAAAGTGTATTTTTTAAAAAGACTAATTATTTAGAAATCAATAACACTTCAAACACAACACCAGATTAGACACATGTAGCAGAGCATTATCAGATGATCATTAAAGAATAGTTCAGCTCTTCATTTTAGCTTTATATCTCACAACATGCTTTTTTGTCAAACAAAAGGACTACCAATTTCATATATTACTCACATTTAGTTCCCTTTTGTAATTTAAGATCATTTATTTCTGATTTATCTTCATTTAATTATGTATTACATTTTGGAATGGTTAAACCTCTTCACAGTTTCAATATTCAAACAATACTTTTGACAGTGGACCTTTAAGGTTTGCTAGAAAACAAACAGATAAACAGAAAAAAGCTGACTCAGTTGAGGATCCTTTGGTGTGCAGTCCAGTCCACAGAAAAGTAAGAAGTTATTCTCTGTGTCTGCTGCCAAAAATCACAGGTCATACATGTATGTATCAGCCAAAGAAACCCAGATATCACCACGAGACAGTGAACAACATCCAAGTTATTTAAGGGCTCTTTTAATGCCTTATGTGGCCCCTGATATCTTAACCAGGATTTTAACTCATCCAGGTTGTGTTTTCTTGAATCAAAACACTGTAAGATGTTCTTCTAACAACTAAAACTCTACCTGCCGAATGAAATATGGCATGCTTTATGGAATCCTAATAGATCGGCCATATAGAAATCCAGACAAGCAAAAGCCATCCACTTATTTTCTGCTACCGCTTTTGTCAATACAAGGTTGCAGAGGGGCTGGAGCCTGTCTTAGCAACTATTGGGCAAGACGCCAAACCAGATAGTAATCTAGAGATACACGAACAGAACAAGAAAACTCCTCACAGAAAAAAAAAACTAAACATGTGAGATCTGAACCCCAAATTATAGGCAGTAATATCCCCCCTTATTTTTTTAAAATTCTCTTGAATCATCAAACATGCATAATATTCCAAGAAACACAGAGACTGAAACTGTGCCAACGTTTGCTATTCCCTTGCTTCTTACCACCTTAATGTAAAATGTGAATTTTAAAGTACTTTCTGCCTGTTCTGCTCATTGTATTTGTGACAATGTGTATGTATTTCAATGTGTTGCAATGTAACGTGAAAATCAGTATAGACTTTGCAAGCATGGATGGAGGTGTAAATACTGAGTCTCATATGTGATGAAGTCTACCTTCAGTCAAAAAAGGCTACTGGTGTCTTTTTTTGTGCTTCAGGAATTTACAGCATTTTCCATTGGCTCTGTCAGAATGCAGATTAGCACATTAAGTGAGCCACTGCTGAAAAGCGCACGGCACTGGCACTCCTGATATTTGGAAATGAGGTTGTTTAATTGTGCATATGGATCTTCATTAATATC